CCGATCTTTATAAAATTTTCAGGGCTTCAATAAGGCACACAAAAGTGTGCACATACCAAAGCGCAAGACTCGACCTTCAAATGTAATTGGTTTATATAATATAAAAAGAAATAGGCGGATGTAGCCAAAAAGTGAAATATTCTTAGTCTGTAAATACTTGGCAAGAAGCTATATAACAAGTTTGGTGTATCCAGCTTATATAATTTTCGAGTGATGCTTAAAAAACATGTCTTATAAATCTAGATTTATCGTAATTATAAAAAACGGGACTGGATGTCGAACAAAAAATGATAAACTTGTTCTGTGTGTGGTAAAAGAGAATAAATATTCAATATTTCCCAATGCTCTAGCTCCTATTTCATGAAGTTATATGACATACAGACAGATTTGGCTTGATCGACTCAGCTTGTCGTCCCGTCGTGTCCTTTAATGTAATTTGCATAGCTACATAATGCCCTCTGTACCCATTTTTAATGGGTTTAGTGTATTATATAAAAAAGGAATTAGTGAAAAGCAAAAATGTCTCATACTCATAACATGCACATTTTTTTTAGCCGCAATGCAAAGCATTTGCAGCTTAGCACACACAGATACAGCTACAGATACAGATACAGCTACAGCTACAGATACAGATACACACAGTTGCTTTTTGTAGTGGATGTAGATGAGAAAAAAGAGGAACTGCAGTTGCATTTAGTGCGTATTTGCAGCACTTGCTCTGGCTGTTGCTCTGGCCAAGTGCCACTAAAGTGCATGAGGACATAAATGCGGGGATGTGTCTAGTTTTATTTTTCAAGCTTTTCTTTGCTGTTCCAACATGCTCAGAGCCTGCTGACAAGTGGCACTTGGCCCTAGCTACTCATGTTTTGTAGTGTTTGTCGTGTTTGTCGTGTTTGGCCACAATGGAACAAGCATCTATATTGTCAGCCACAATTTGGGGCAAGCTGAATACAGAGCTGCCAAGAACTGAATCGCAAACGAACTTTGGATTGCAAGCCGACTTATATTTGTTAGCCGTTTTGTTATTCGTGGAAATGCAATAGGCGCGCGCTTTCCACATCGCCGCCAAAGCCATGCAATTAGGCGTACAAAAAGCGCGAATAGTGTGCCTGCAATTAACATTAACCCACTGAGTTTTTATCAGGCACACACACACACACTGGCACACGCTCGCACACACTTGCTAGCTCATAATAATATGGCATTAGCGGAGTTCAGCCGCATTAATTGCAAAATGTGGCCGCGCTTGGGTCTCTTGTGTCTCTCTTGTCGCAATCGGGCATTGCAAAATGTCGCTTTGGCTCTTACATTGTCCGACTAATTAAAGGTTTTGTGCGCACTAATAACCGCCATTCGGAACACCTCAATAACAACGGCGTCGTCTGCGGCGAGTGTGCCGCCAAATTGTGGGTGCAACGGGCCGTAAAGTTGCCACCAATTCCCACATCATCAACATGAGCGCCGTGTTTCAACCATTTAACATCTGCACTTTGATAATATTTCTTTTAGATTTGAAAGCCCATTCATGAGTTAAAACCCCTTGCATAATGCCCCCCCTTAACCCTCCCCACACCTCTGCCTAGTTTTGTGAACATCTTTGACCTTTTCTTTGGCGTCTGCCTAGGGGCGGGCCTGCAATACGTTGGGACAATGTTGCGTGAAGACGCAACGGCGGCTTGCAGCGTTTGAAATGCCTGCAACAATAGCAAGTGGCAAGATGCCACAACAACAATAACAACAACACGCTACAAAGATAGCTTATTGTCTTTCAATTTGCAGCCTGCTTTGCCTTGCTTAACATGAACATTAGCAAAAACTGTGCGCTACGCATAGTGTCACAGATCAGATATTAAGAGATCTATAAACATAAAGATTTGCTATATAAGAAGCTACTTTCCGGACGATCATTCTGTGGTCCGATTTTGATGATGTATCCTTCTGTGCGTTAAATAGTTATTGATAAACTTATAATAACCTCTACAGGGCCAACAGCAATCCAGCTTCTTACCCTTACATTCCGTTCGTAATTTGTTTTCCACAGCCTTCAACTTAAACTTCATTTGGGAAAAAGCAATTTCGACAGTTCGAACCAGCATTTTGCCTTGAGGTTCTCCTCAAGGTTGAGGTTTTCCTGCTTGATGTCAAATCAAAATGGACATTTCAAAAATATAGTTTAATATTAACAAGAGTTTTTATATGGAGTCGAACCATTCTTGAAAAAGATATTTTGTTTGAGCTGCGATGTTAGGTACAAATAGATATAAATATATAACACACATCTATCATATATCAAAGCAAAGGGTATTTAATATTTCCTTTCTATTACTTCAGCCACTTTGCCCCACTGTGCGTTCGAAGATAAGGCGTTATAGTTTTTGCTGTTGCTGCTGTTTTTGTTTTAGCTTTTTTGTGGTTTTGTTTGCGACATCGTTTTGCAATGCCGAGTGTAAAGTAGATATAGATAAATAGTATATCTATTGTGATTGCCGCCCGTTTTTCTTTTTTTTTGTTGTATGCATGTAGATTGAGTCTTGTTTGGTTAGTCGCTTTGTTTCGCTGATCGACGACAAGTTTGTCGCCCAAGTCTTTTGTTTTAGGCCGCCGCCGGCGGCTACTGCTGCCTGCTCGATAAATTCAATGCATATCAAAACTTAAAGTCAAGGTGAGGAGGAGGAGGAGGAGGAGGAGGGCACATTCGGAAATTGAGTAGTTTGCACGCTTGTTACTTATTATGGGCCACAGAGTTTGACGTGTGCCTCCATCGTATGATGTCTCTGTTTGCACAGCAATTGACTCATCATCCAATTGAAATATCAAAAGCTGCCGCGGGCTAACGTCGAAATTTGTACTATAAATAAAAAGCCTCACGTCTCTGGCTAAACATAGTTCTGTGCGCCTCAAGTAGCTGCCAGAGCAGCTTGAGCCTCTTAATTGTTCGCTCATGATGCGAATAAGACAAAAATTCAATTTTTAGAGAGATATACCAAGCCACATGACGGCACACTTTTGGCATTTGTTTGCCCGACGTTCACAACAATTTATATATAGCTTATATTAAGTAATAAATTTATGCAATATTTGCATATTTTCTGTTGTCTGTCTGAGGTTAAAGAACTGCGGCATACTTCACAGACTGCCTATCAATAAGGGGCCCTCAAATGAAGATGGATGTGACGCTCTTTCAAGTCCAAGTCCAGGTCGAAACCTTAATTACATTAGGCCGACTGACTTGCTGCTCCCATTGCAAAGGCAACAAAACATTGGCAACTTCTTGTATACCCTAGCAAAAGGCGATTAGACGAACCTGACTACAAAGAAGTGGGAATTCATATTCAAACTTATACAAAACTGACAGGGCATTTAGTAGGGTATTTACTTGTCGGCACTTTGCCTGCACACATATCTTTCACGTACATTTTCTAGTTTCCCTTGGTTGTTTTTGCTTTAGTTTTTTCTTTTGAGTTTTTCACCTGCCAACTGGCAACTGCTGTAACTTTGAGTTGTCACCAAAGAGAACTAGAAAAAACAAAAAAAACTTGACTTAAGTTTCCAACGAGCGTTGACCATGGCACAAATGTGCATCGGCATCGGTGGCATCGTCGTCATATGGTAACACGACCGATGATTAATTTGCAATTATTGCTATCATTAAGTGTGCGGTTGCAGCGGACACAGCTGCCACAGAAAGCAATCAAATGAGAAAGAACGAGCACATTGATCATGCCGAATACTAAATACCCTTTCGCCTGTCAGTTATTGCTTTGCTTGCGAAGGATATCTTGAATTACAGAAAAGTTGTGCACACAAAAACTCATTTTCGATCGACTTTATCTATCCTATAGAGCCATAAGATAGGGTAGCACGATAATGCTAAGGTATGGCATACATATGTGTCGAAGGTCGTAAATTCCAAGTTTTTTCATACTAGATCACAAATACATGTATATACATAATTTTATCAAAGATGTTTGCTCATAAAATGCTAATACCCTTTAAGCTTTAGGGCATACGAACTTGAGGCCCAACTAATTCTAAGCACAAAGCGAATAAAGTTGTAGACCTCGAACGAACTCAAGCAAAAGAAAGTTGGCAACTTGTTGCGAGCTCTTTGGCTGGGAATGTGAGAAAAATATGTGAACCTGCCGCCTCCGATTACCGCACAAATCATCATATTGTTGGGGCTCCCTTGCTCGATCCTCCAGAGAAATGATGAAGCTGTCAGCGCCCTGTGTCTGCATTACGTGGCAGCCTCTCGGCACACTTATCTGCAAATCTAACTGTCTATCATATAAGTATATAGCCATCAGTCAGACAACAGACAGCCACACAGCTGGGAAGCTATACAGTCGGACAGTTGGGCAGTTGGGGCTGGCTTTTACATAAATCGCTAGCACTTGGCTCGTGAATTTTCAATTTTCAAATTATGTGCCGAAATGACTGTGGAATATGGCAGTTGCGATTGCCGGAAAATGCATGCTCATCGTGGGTCAGTCAGAGATTTTCAGTGTAGTTAGTTATCAACCGAACAATTTGCCAGACGCGCAACATTTTGGCCATAAATATGCTTAGGACGTGGGCTGCATTATGCAATTGGCGGCGAGTGGGCGGGCGGGCGGCAGACCTTTTTTTGGGGTCGGTTCGCGTTGCCTCAACAACTGCTAATTAATGCACCGCCATGTGCCAGCAGCAGCAGCAACAGCAGGCACAGTGCCTGCTATAAGCTGTCGCCCAGCAAAAACCATTTTTAATAGAACCGCGCAGTAAACAAATCACAAATGTGTGCCAAAAATAAAGCGATATTCATTTTGCTTTTAACTCTAGCTTCAAGCTGTTTTTAAACTTGAAAACCTCTCGGAAAATACAATTTTGTTTTTAAGTTTTGTTGAAATTTTACCCAAGAAAGCTTTAAAAACTGAAATATTTAACATTTACAAGCCATTTTCCTATTTAAGATTATTTATCTTATATTTATAATAACAATTTTCGCTCAATCTTTGCAGTCAAGACTGATCCGTAGCCCGTTTGGGAGCTGAATGTGTTTGCGTGTGCTTTGACCATGCCCATTTGCAAAAGTTCACCGGCAACGGCAACGAGCAAGAAAACCGCCACGGACATATCCGCCGATCATGTGACGGAGGCGGCCCAGGTGAAACGTACACGGGAACAGGCCTATTTCAATTCGTACGACTTCGATGCAATCGAGGTGCTGCCCTACGACGAGGAGGACGAGGACGACGGTCTGCCCGGGGGCAGACACAGTCGCGCCAGCAGCGGACGCTATTCGGTGGCCAACGAGAGCAACAGCAGCGGCAGCCACACCAAGTTCGCCTATCTGCACAGGCTGGGCGCCTTCTTTGGCCAGAAATCAGCTGCAGATGGAGCAGGTGCAACGGCGGGCCATAACACGGGAGGAGCCGGAGCTACACAGGAGTTTGGCGGCGTTGCTCTCGCTGCTGGGCCAACAAATGATAACTTTTTGCTGCCACGCGCCATGCTGAAGTACCCATATCAGAGGTAAGTCTTGACAGCAAGCCGGTTCAATTCCAGAATTTGTATTTCTTATTCTTATAATGAACTGCAACTTAAAGCAAAATAGATAGATCGAACCACATATCTTAATACACTTAACTCATTGATAATGCATAGAGCAGAGGCTAGAGAATATTATCGCATCTTTTGGGCTTATGAATGTAACAGACAGAAGGAATTATCTCCGAGCCATGGAATAGTTCCTAATCAGGACGACAAAATGCACATTTTTTTTAACTATACGCAGAACAAGCTCATCATTTTATGTCGTCAACTTAAGATCTTGCTCTGCAGGCACTTGTAAGCACACAAAAATTATAAATGTTTCTCTCTTTGGATGCGCTTTGGCATACACCAACTTTTGTTTGCAGGAAGTGGTTGCAAGCCGTAAACTCTTTTGTTTTGTTTTGCTTTGTTTTGTTTTGGCTTGCAACAGCATTAAATGTTCAGCAACGGGCAGCAGCTGGCCAAGAGCTGCGCTGACCTTCGCCTCACGGCCAACAGCCGTCGAGTGGCCCTTTTTGCGGTGGTCGCAGCCCAGTCATTACGCGCCCAAGCTCTCGACAAATCTGAAACGCAATTTAATTATGTTATGCCAGGGCAATTAGCGCGGCATTAAGCTGATTAAAAGCTGGCTATTGTGGAAATAAAATGCTTAAATCTAACACACTCAAACAGAGCCATTTCAAAGGGCCACACAAATATTACGCATACGTCAGGTACGCTGCCCGCATGTGCAACTGCAGCTGACAGCTTAGTTTTCAGCTTGCAACAGCAGCCATGTAAATGAAGCGAAGTTCAAGTTGCATGTGGCACGTTGCAATGCGGTTTTCGGCGCCTGTCGTCAGCCTTCACCTCTTTTCAGCGGCAGCAGAAGCCACTTGACTTGCCAAACACTTGACGTCGCGTCGGTCAACAGCAACAACAGCTACAACAACAACAATGAATGCAACTGCAGCCAGCTGCAACAATTACGTTTATTAATTGAAATTAAAGAAGCCACATATGAGGCAGCCTACTGCTGCTGCCGCTGCTGCTGCTCCTCTGCTGGAGGTCACAGCCAGTTTTGGTTTGAATTATTTCTACATACATAACTAAAACGTGCATGCATACATGCATGCATGCATGTGCAAGCGAAAAGCAAGCAGCATATAAATATTTACTTGTGTGCCATCAAATCGTGCAATTTATTGTAAATAGTTTTTGTTGTTTTTCTATTCACCTAACGGGTGTGCACGACTAGCAAATACCCTGAACTCTGTCCAGCTGCCGTTACACACATGCTCGCCTTCTCTTACACATACATACAGGAACACACACACACACACACATATGCGCTTCTTCTTAGCCCCATGCTATGGGAAAGCAGTCTCAAATAACTTCGGTGCTTATTGTCCGATCTTTATGAATTTTTCAGGGCTTGTATGTGCTATGCTAAAATGTGCATATACCAAAAAGCAAGGGTTTAGAGTATTAGGGGAAGGTAGTATGATATAGGAATAAGATTCAGTTAAGGACAAATTTACAATAAGCTCAATTCAAAGCTAAGAAACTTATTTTTATAGAAACAAACTGACTTTCATATATATAAATCAAATCGACAACTAAAGCCAGTCAAGCAGTTGCAGTACAAACTAGCTAATAAAAAGTAGCATGCCCTCTGCAAGGGTATTCAAAAAACAGCACAGTAGCCAAAATCAGTAGTAAGTTATTTTGAATGCATGCAACAGGCTCAGAGCTCAGAGCCCATGGCTCATGGCTCAAATTTGATTTCGCATTCAGAAATCCTTCCTTTCAATGGCAGCCAAGGTTAATGCAATTAAGGCACATACCATGCATACATTAAACAGAGCATATAAACTTGATATCTTGTTTATGGCTCTATGCGAATTTCATGTCTTGTCTGTGTTGCCTTTCCCATTGCACTGCTCTGTGTGCATGTTAAGCAAGAAAAGTAGAAGGTTTTTTCAGTAGCTGCTCTTCCTATCGAAATTTTGATTGCATCAGCTGTAACCTTCCCATAATATTGGACACATGTTATATGCAGTTAGTTCGACGGTCAATTTGGCTGTTATATAGCTGGCATTAGTTGCGCCCGATGCGTTAATTTGTATTCAATATTGTACGGGGCGTAGCTATGCCAGGGTCAATGCCTCACTTAGGCAATCTTTGCTGGCTAAGCATGTGCGAAATATATTCAAAAATAATCACCTGCAATAGAAACGCGATTAGTTTGATTGATTTATTAACCAGACGTAGTTAGTATATATAGCTGGTTCGACAGAAGGACGTTGGGTAAGCTGAAAACTAAGCCAAGAGCCAGTTGGACCAAAGTGTAATTTGTTTTGGCAGCCAAGTCAACAATAATTAGCGGACCCACACACACACATACACTCTCGCACCTTTTCTAGTTACTGAGCTAACGGCCCCGTGTTCCGACATGCAAACGAGGCTGAACATTTTAATTAACACGGCTCACAAATAAATACGCAAATATTGCAAAATATTTCATGCTCTAAGCCGCGATGGAACGTTAACCTTGTCGATTACATATCAAGCCAAAAAATAAAAATAAAATAAAATACTAGAAAAACCAAGCTAAACGCATCGATAAACAAGCTGCTCTTAATAACCGTTGTATAGCCTCGAGCAGCTCCCCCCTCCCAAAATAAAAACCAAGCCCAAGTCCAAGTCCGTATCCGCACCGAACCGATCCGATCCGATCGCAACTTATCAAATTTTCGTGGCACAGTTGCTATATAAGAACGGCGACAAGCAGCGACACGAAGACCGTTATTACGCAATTTTCCAGCGATTTTTCACAGCGCTCCACCGCTTCAGGTTGCCGCTGACCCAGTGCCCAAAGTTAGACACACAAAACGGTTCTTAAATAACACACACACACAACAGCAGCGCCTCTGGGCCAACGAATGCATATCAACTTGTAAAGCTAGCCACTAAAGTGAGCCAGCTACCAAAACTGAAAGGGCATTAAGCATACCATAAATATTTGCAGAACAATATCAAAGAAGGATGCTGGTTCGAACCATTGAAAATTAACTGACATTAGCATGAGTTTTATATACTTTGAATATTCACTGAACAATAACAGCTAACATTCGAGCTATAGCTTGTTCCTTATAGTTTCTGGCGGCCTAACAAAAAAGATACTGGTTCGAACCATCGAAAATAAAGAGACATTAGTATAAGGCTTATACACTATAAATATTTACAGAAGAATATCAACTATTATTCGAGACATATATAGCTCTTTACAGTCCCTAGCTGCGTTACTTACATACTTCAACCAGAAGGATGCTGAAAGATGCTGGTTCTAACCACTGAAACTGAAAGGGCATTAGCATGGGTTTTATGCACTATATAAATATATCTATAACAAACCGATTTAAGAGATAGATGGCTAGATATAGCTTTTTGAACTCATAGGTTTGGGAGCTTGCTGTCAAGTGAGACACTTCCTTAGGCTATTTCAGAAAAAGGGTGCCGGTTCGAACCCCTCGCCTGGTCTCAGTAAGCAAACATTTAACTAGAATTTAACAAACTAGCCGCCGCTTCATCTAACTAACTGCTCAAAATTAAAGAAACTCATGCCAAAAAAAACCGAAAAAAAAATTATAATAAAAACCAATTGCAACAGTTACTCAAGCTGAAATCCTGTTTAGAACGAGTTTCTTTTGATTCGGAATTGAATTTTGATGTTGAATTTCAAATGTTGCTTTTTTTCCCATATATATATATATGTATGTGTGTGTGTGTGTGTGTGTGCGCCTGTTAGGCAGCACTTAAAAATGCGTTAAAATGTAAACAATTTATGCTCTGGTCTAGCTCAAACCGAGCACCCCCTTTCAAGAATTCCAGGCACATTAAACAAGCATTAAATAAGTTGCGTCCAACTGGAAGATTTATTGATTTGACAGCTGCGACTGCCACAAACAAACTAACAAAAAAATCGAGAGCGAAACCAGCTGCTGCTGCTGCAACAACAATAACATGTCGTAAAGAAAGACTACTAACCCACATACAAGATGCTTGCCACAAAACCACTTTCATTGCGCGCAGTTTCCCTTTCAGCAGAGTTTTGTGTTTATTTTATATGTGTTTTGGACTTTTCTCAATGATTTTTCTCACACTGTGCTCTCTTCCATGTTTCTCCTTGTCCAGCGGCAATGCGACAACTTCAATGCCATTGACAACGTCGCTCTCAATGATCCATGCGAATGGCTCGGCTGGTCTTGAGAGCCAGACGGTTGCATCTGTGACCAGACCGAACGATATCAAGCCAAATGTGTTGGCCAACAAGAAACGCTCCACGGCATCCAATGCCAGCAGCACACATACCACGGACTCCGGCCTGGGCACCAACACAACAGCAACAACAACAACAGCAGCAGCAGCAGCAGCAGCAGGGGCAGCTGTGGCAGCAACACCAAGTGCGGCAGTAGCTGCGAGCGGCTCACACTATTCGTCCGATAAAAGCGGCTCGTCCGGTTACTATAGCTCTCATGTGTGCTCCACATACTCGCTGGACGAGCACATCTACTGCGAACCGGTCATAGATATCCTAGAAGCCAGCGAGAAAGAGAAGAGCAAGAGCAAACGGCCACAGCTGCAGCTGCCAACGAAAGTGACGGGCCATGAGAAAGAGACGACGGCGATTAGTCAGCATTTGGATATGCAAGATGCTATGTCTACGGGCCTGGCAGCCGACCAAGCGGCGGATAAAACGGAGCAAATAGTCGCGGGCAACAGCCAGCAGCAGCAGCAGCAAGAACAGCCGCACTACAGCGACAAGCTGCGCATCCTGGAGACAAGCATTGAGAATCTGGATCGTCATTTGAAAACCTTGCCCAGCCTCTATGCGCGGCAAGCGCCAGCGGCTGCAGCATGCGCCACAATGGACATTGGCGAAAAGCTGCGCGCCTACAACCAGCTGCCCACAATTATGGAGGGCTATGCCACACAGCGGCAACAGCGTCAACTGGAGCAGCTGGATGACTCACTGCTCGACATCGATTTGGATGCATTTCTGCTGCAACCCAAGCAGCAGCAGCAACAACAGCCACGGCGACAGCGGCAACAGCTGCTGGCAGGCATTGATAATCCGAGTTTTTTGAGCGACGAACAGCTCGAGGAGAACAATTACAAGTGTGCCAAATACATAAACTCCTGCCCGGAGAATGCTTATCGTGTGGACAACGAATCATCGGCCCATGCCCATGCGAAACGCTATGAGGATCAGCTGCACTTTCAGAGCACACGCGAGCTGCTGGAGGATGTGCGCGACAAGATACGCCTGCTGGCGCCCACGCCCACAACGGACATACCGCAGGAGCTGGAGGGCATGATACAAACGCTCAAGGACGAGCTGGAGTCCTATCTGCAGCGCATGAACCAGCACAGCGAGCTGGAGCTGCGACAGCTCTGCAGCGGTCTGGGCCGCCAGCAGCATGTGGTGCGGCTGCAGAATGCGCTGGAGCGCAGGCGCAGCTTTGCAGGTGAACTGCAAATGAATGCCTACGAGTCTATGCGCGACGGCGTCCTAATCTCCGCCTGCGGTCGGCCGCTAAACGTGCGCGAACAGATCATGAGCATACGCTGTGCCAGCGATCCGAACTTTAAGATGAAACGCAAATCCATTACCGAGGTGTTTCCCGTCGCCGAGTGCTATATTGAGACCATGACGTTATCGCGCAGTGCCACGCCTACAACCATGGAGACGCCCACACCGACAATCACGCCCACGCCTACACCCACGCCACCGCTGGAACTGAAGGCAACGACAACAACAACAACAACCATGGTCACCCAAATGCAACGCAATCTAACCTTCCACAAGCCCGTGCTCAGCGTGGAAAACACCAGATCGCGGCTGGGCAACGGTCTCGACAAGATCGACAACGCAGCCGAATGGCATCGCAAAAAGCCAAGCATCTGGGAGATGTACTACGGCACCAATCGACTGCATCAATCGTTGCTGGGCAAGCAGCGCCACACCGGCGGCGAACTGGTCATCAGCAGCGCACATCCGACGCTCTCCTATGTGAGTATATGCGGGGGCAATGGATACTCTGATACTGGGCAATAAATGATGCATTATGCAATTGGTATAGTGCAGGAACAGTTGGTAATGAGGTAGAGTTTTAGGTATTTGAGCCAAGAAATGGTTCAAACCCGCAATTCCCATATAGTTGAAATTAAAAGCCAGGTCCACAAATCGATCCTTCAGGCAGAAATAGTTGAAGCAGAAAACCTCAAGATTGAAAGGAGGTAGAGAACTCAAACTAAGGGCACAACAACTCCCTTTTTAATTTGTGTAATGTTTCGGAAATGCAGTCTGTACTTTTTTCAGTTGCTTGACGCTTGCAATTCTCAACAAGTTAAGGCTTAGCAAGAGGAACAACGCGTTGGCAAAGTCAGCAAAGTCAGATTATTGATTATTGACAGACAAATGTCTAGTATTTTTATATATTCTTGTTTATTATTGATAGTTTAGCGTGCTCGAGGTCTAGGTTTTGCATTAACGCAAACAAGTTGTTCCTTTCCATTAGCCCATTAGCACTAATAGAAAAGAACAACTTGTTTGTTTTAAGTTGAAACCTAGACCTCGAGTTGACTTAGCCGTCAACTAAACATTGGCAAGGTCATCAAACATCCAATATTTATACAAAAAAAAAAAAAACCAACATTTTATTATGCATACCAAAAAGTTCACTAAAATCAATTGTCAATTATTGTAGAAATAATGGACTCTCTAAATTGAACGACATTTCGAAAGCAAATTTGGCAGTAAACTAATTAATTACAGCATTAACTGTATTACTTAATATGGGTCAAACTCGGAGCTTTACTTAGGTTTAGGTTAGGTTTGGCCAACTAGGCGTATGATTAATGCTCTTGGCTAATTGTCACCAAACACAAAGCTCGGGGTCGAGTCTGGGTAACTGCATTATCTTTTTTTTTTTTGGGTCACATGAACTTATCAAGAGATTGACAGCACGGTCGAGGGCGTAATTCAGTGGAATTTTTCGTGTGTGTGTGTGTGTGTGTGTGTGTGCAGCGAGTGCATCAACGGCAGCTCATTAATTTGCCAATTTAAATGGCATCGATTTCGGCTCAAGTCAATTGCCGTCGCGATGTTCGTGCAAACTTTTATTAATTTTATCCTTGGCCGCAATGTGACCAACAAGTTGCTGCAGCGGCAGCGGCAGCGGCAGCTTCGTGAGCTGCCTCCGTGTGGCAGCTGCAGCAGCAGCAGCAGCAGCGGATGCGTTGCCAGCGCCATCGTCGCCAGTCACCACCGGACGTCACCAGCATTGACGCCATCATTATTATTATTGTTAAACACACTCACACACACACACTTTGACACACACACACACACACATATGCACAACCGTTTGCTGAATTTCTGATGGGGGTTTATTATGCGGCAGGCGATATGCGATATTATCGCATTCATGGCCAATGTTCAATTTGGTACCGCACTCGTGTATTGGCATTATGATTAATGATGTGCGTGCCACAATCGATAAGAAGGGGGAGAAGAGACGAAAGAGAAGGCGGCGGAGGCGTTCATGCTACTGTTCAGAGCTGCCGCACAAGGTGCTCGGCATATCATTAAGATGAGAATCTCAGCAATTACATCAAACAGTTGCATTTGCCACAAGTCTTCAGGTCAGCAAAACTAACGAAAATTATGCAGTTGCAGGGCCTAATCTTAAACACAAATTAGCAAGAGTGATCGGCTAGTGAATACCCTGTAACACACACACACGCACTTCTAATCCAATACATGAAGTCTAGCCTAAGTGTATATATGTATATACTTTATGGTATCACCGTGTCCTTCTGTATGGAAGTGCGCTCCAATCGAACTGCTCGACTAGTGGATACCCTGTAACACACACACACACACACACACACACACACACACATATAAAGTCTCGCCCAAGCAGATATATACACTTCAATCCATGCTGCTCGTCTAGTAGATACTCTGTGCTAGTGTTTTCCAATCGACTCTGCTCGACTAGTAGATAGTCTGTACTACACCACAGCACATACACGCACACTTATTATGCAATATTTAAAGTCTCTCCCAATACTATATATATACTTTATGAGTACGCCGTGTCTCGCTTTTTGTAAATGCGCGCCAATCGAGACTGCTCGACTAGTAGATACTCTGTACTACACCTCACAAAACACACTCATAATCCAATTGCTAAAGTCTCCCCCCTTATGGGCTCTTCGTGTCCTATTCTATGCAAGTGTTCTCCAACAGAGGCTGTTCAACTAATAGATACTCTGTACCACGTGCTTATTATTCAAAATGTAGACTATTTCTGAAGAGTATACACATATATACTTAATGGGAAACCTTCTACTATTCATAATACCCTTGGCAAGCTCATTAAAATGTGGGGCATGTCCACTTTAACACTAAGTTAAGTTCTTGCACCTGGGCGCTTGAGACGCCCGCTTAACAAATACCATTCGGTTTCTTCTGTCACGTGGGCCAAAAAACAAAGAAAAAACAAAAGTAATTTAATTACCGACCACATTTGTAGAGTGTTTGGCAAATAGAACTTGATTCTGTATACAAATATTGCACTCAACAGCAGAATAGTGAATTAAGCAACATCCGCTGGACTAATCGAGCGTATTTCGTGGGCCATGTTTGGGTCTCTGGGCCAATGCATAGAGAATCTAAATGAGTTTTCACTTTCAATGCCAATGCAAAACAGTTTATTCATTTCATTTTATTTTAATTTTCTGTTGACTCAGCTTGGCAACAGAAATTGGTAAGCGCACGACTTCGGTTTATTCACCTTAACTGAAAGCACAGTCTTAACTGCAGATACACATCTATATATATATATATATATATATATATATATATATATATATATTGTACCTATTTACTAGTCAGTATGCACGTTCACGATTGGGATTTGAACTTGAAGTTTTGCTTTTTGCTGCGGGTTACTTGCAAGCGAGCTTTAATACAAATCAAACAGTAAATGCAAAAGGAAAAGCCAACAAATGTTTAATTTGTGAGGTCCCGACTAGCAAATGCCCTGTACTTTCTTTTAGGCGTACATAATTATTAATAAATAAAATGCATAACGAGCACCTACATTCCAAATAAGATGGCTTTAGCTCTCATAATCCCCGAGATATGGTCAAGAAACCTAATATAAACTTCGATAGCTATCAATATCGATAGATAAACAAAGAGAACTATCGATATCGATATGAAATAATTTTGATCCCAATAGAAGATAGACCCCAAAAAGAAAACCATATGCCAAATATTCTCCAGATGGATAAGCACAGTGAGACGAACATGACTAAATCAACTAAACTTCTCCGAGATGTCTCCCCCTCTCTCTCTCTCTCTCTCTCTCTCTCTCTCTCTCTCTCTCTCTCTTTCTCTCTCTCTCTCTCTCTCTCTCTCTTACAAACATTTGCACAAAACCAAAATACTCTGATTTTCAATCATTTACAACGGGTACAGGGCATAAAAACTGTACTGGTTAACCTTAAAATTCCGTTAAGACATGCAGCAAAGGCCTGCAGCATCTTGGCGAACAGGTAGCTCTGCTAGCTGCTTATCTGGCTGACCAACTGACCGCCATTGATTGCGGTCCAGATAAAAATGCGCTAACAACAACAAGGTAGAGTGCAACAAGTGGCAGAGAGCGCAACGAGAAACCGGTGCCGCAGCCTGCATTTTGTTGCCCTACAATTTGAATGACCTTTAAGGACGTTTCCACAAGAAGGATGCTGAGCAAACAGGCTGGCCATAATGAGTATAGCTGCAGCCCCTTCTCCCCCCCTTCACCCTCCCTCACCCCTTTGAGCCGACTTGCCACGCGGTTGGCTCTGCCCCGCAGACGAAACTCGTCCCACGGCAAATTGGCCGGCGAATAACTCGTTTGCTGTCATGAATGCCAAAATGAAAACGAAAACGCAAACGAAAAGCAAAATTTCAGGCGAGATCTGGTCACACACACACACACACACACACACACACACACTGGCACACTCGCTCACACACAAAGTAGCTGCCGCTGCAGTTTTTACTATTTAGCCGTGGCTGCCACAAAGTGTTGCAATCGCTGCAGCCACCCATCAAAAACAGAAATCGAAACCGAAACTTGGTTTTTCGTTTTTTTTTTTTTTTTTTTTTTTTTTTTTTTTTTTTTTTTTTTTTTTTTTTTGCAATTTCCATTTGGCCAAGAGCAAGCCAAAACGACACAAATGGACGTGGGGAATTGTCGTCAGGCCAGAGCCACAAAAGCGAGTAAGTCGCGTTTTTCTTGAAGTACACAGTTCCCCCCCGGCCAGCGGCTATGCGAGGGTCGTTTGGATAGTTAATCAGATTAGATGCGCAACTGCAAGCCGAATGACTCACGAGTTCGAACCAGCGCCCCGCATTTAAGTTCAGTTCGTAAACTTGAAAGCAAAATCGATTCAAATGCTCAGAACGTAAATTAAGTTGTTCTTAAAATTGATTCAAATGCTCTGAAAGTCAGTTTATCAACTCTTAGCTACTCTTAAGATTCGAACCAGCGTCCCGCATTAAAGTTCAGTACGTAAACTTGAAAGCTAAATCGATTAAGTTGTTCTTAAAATTGATTCAAATGCTCTGATAGTCAATTTATCAACTCTTAGCTATTCCTAAGATTCGAACCAGCGTCCCGCATTTAAGCTCAGTTCGTAAAACTGAAACCAAACTCGATTCAAATGCTCAGCAAGCTAATTTAGCTACTTTAAGCTATTCTTAACATTCGAACCAGCTACTTTTTGCCAGTTTTCGAGCTCCGCATCGCATTGGACTGCCCCGAGCTGAAGATATGCCACGGGGCAGCTTTTGTGGCTTATATAAGCGCAAGGGGCCTATCACGGCCAGCAGCGCATTGACCAGCACGGAAGCTGTTGCCAGGTGACTGACACCCCCAACCACACTTACGTTTATATTCGGCAGCTTCGGTTTGCAGCTGATTACTCATACGCCACGTGCAACATTGGGCTGTGAATGCTCGACTAATTAACTGACCAACGGTTTTGCAATGTGCCACGCCCACGCGCCTTGATCCTTTTATTTGTGTGAACTGGTCGCCTGCGTGCCAGTTGATTGACTCACTGACACACTGACAGCATTCGAGCGGCTGTCGCTACCGTTTTAACAGACACCTGACCAACACCCCCCCCCCCCCCCCCCTCCCACTCCCGCTCCACGCACCTTCCATCAGACACTTCAATGTTCAATTGGTTGCTTTGGCTTTTCCGGCGCTCGGCTGCTTTTCATGTTGCGGCTTTTCTTGTGTGTGCAACATTTCGTTGTTGTCTCGCGTTAGTTACCGTTGAATGCGTTTTCAATGCTGCTGCTACCCCCCCCCCCCCCCCCCTCTCTCACCCAAAGCACAGAAAATGTGTAGAAAAAGTCGAGCACCTGTTGCACAATTGCCTAATTATCTAGTCTGAATATACATATATATATATTAGTTAATATATATACTTGGTCTATTCACACCCTATTATATTTACGATACCTGTGAAAATCTCTGCGCCTACCTGACTTATTGCCACACTTGAGTTTAATTTACACAAAAACGTTTATTTCTCTATCTGTGCAAATTATTATTGCATTGTCTTTAGTTCGGTTAAGAGTTGATGTCCAAAAAGTCAGTTCACTTTTAAGCTTCCAACCGTGCAGATTGTCCATACAAAAATGGATAATATCACATTTGTAAGTGTCGCAATTTTCTCGAAAACTATCTCAAATTTTCCAACAACTAAATGAAAACTAACTAAAGTTTGACATAAATAATGAATTTGAATACGAGTGTAAATCAATTAAAATTAAAGAGAAAGTAGATTTAATACTCTTACGGGTTGGCAGATATGCAGAGCGTATTGTAAAGCTCGTAATTGCTGAGTTTGGTAAAGAAATCTTGAAAAAGAAGAAGAAAAAGAAAAACCTTTCCCCAGACAGACAGACAGACCAGGCTTTATCTACTTTGCTATTGATACTGAACAAGAATATATATACTTTATGAGGTCGATTAAATTGCCTTCCATGTGCGACACATTGCATGACAAAATCTAAATACCCTAAGCTAGGGTATAACAAGTATTGGGCCTTAGCTGGTTATGCACATGGATTTCCCACAGAGATGCCCGTCATATAAACTATATTATATGTATGTATGTATATGTGTGTATAGTGTCTACATACATACATACATACATTAAGTACTTACCGCGAGTACGTGTTAAAATTTGTTTTCACTTCATGCGATTTTTCAACTTAATGCAGTAATAGCGACATTTAAACTTGGCCAACTTCCAGTCAAAAAAATGTATGTACATATGTATGTATGTATGTATGTATGTATGTATTGGTGGTTTCAATGTCAGTGAAAAACGTGTGCTGCAAATTAAAAAGCCAGCCACTAAATTCATATCTGTGTGGATTTTCTTTTGAACTTGATGTCTATTGCAAAACATTTGCAAATAAAATGGGCGCTGTTCAATTTATTCCAAGGCTAAGTTTCGGGGAATTTACAGCTTCAGTTCACAATATATACCTTAGTTTATATATGTATGTACATGTATGTATATGTGTGCGTGTGCGTGTACACACGATGATAGATTATGTACATGCATATTTTTAGAGCTCTTGCATATGTTAAGCGAATCAATATTAACTATACTCTCGTCCAATATTCATAATTTATTGCGATGTGCCTCTGTGCCTTTGCGTGTGTGTGGCATCATTTGCAAATTAGCTACGTCACAATTATGGCACTAGGGCGGGGTCCAATAAGCTGTGCTGAAAAACTTCCCACACGAAGGTTGCTTGAAGAGTAATTGCACTATTTACAATTACCGATATTCGTATTGCATTGAAAGCGCGCTCTCTCTCTCTCTCTTTCTCTTTCGCCCATTCGTCTTGAGTTAATACGCACTTTACTGCATGTTCAAATAACAGTTAAAGTGTTCTGTCGTTGTCTCTCTACCTCTCTCTATCTCTCTGCTGCAACTCATTATTGGGGCATACATACATAGGTTTTCGCGCCATTTATTTGATTTGGCGCCATCCACATACATACATATGAGTGCATGCCTGTATATATGTATGCATGTACGGCTGTGGCAAACACATTCTATGCTTAGGCCTTCTGATAGCCCTCCAATTATATACATATGTATGAATTTCTAGCATACATATGCATATACATACATTTGTAAGTGCATATTCCCTTGATTTACTTGCCAGGCCAATAAAACCGTTACAAACGAATACACAAGCGAACGCACACACACGCACAGAAATTGAATGCGGTAATTTTCCCGTCAACATTGGCGCTTCGATTACGTCGTCTTCTCAAAGTACTTTGACTGATAAACAGCGGCAATAACAACTAAAACACCGACAACAACAAAAGGCAACAACGACCTCAGGCGGCGGCAAACGCAAATGTAAAAGCACAAAAGAAATAAAACACAAACACACAAACAACGCGTAGCTGAAGGTGGATGCGCTAAGAAGCAGCAAAAAGAAGCCGGAAGGCAAACGCAGATACCGCAAAGTTGTTTTCATTTTAATTTCTCATTTCATATCTCACATGTAATGTTATGCTTGTGTATGTACATATACACAAATGTGTGTCTGTTTGTCTGAGTGCAGCAAGCATTGATGAACGTAATAATCGGGCACATACATAACTGATCACCGAAAACGAAGACAATGCGCGCAAAAAAAAAATAATATAAATAAGGCCTGACAATGAAGTGCAAAAATGCGAATTGTTCAACAGGCATTTATGGGCACACTTACACACACCCTAAAATTACTCCTGCATACACATTTAAATATGTATGTATGTATAAATATGCGTGAGTGTGTGAACACTCAAAATTGAATGCCCTTTTAATGACTGTATTACATATGCGCAACTTTCACTTGCCAATATGATTGAAATTCGATATGTGCGGCTTTTTGCAAGACAACAAATCCCAAAACTGTGATTATTATTATTGAGCTATTATAGAATTTTTTGTCGCAAATTTAGCATCCGGTTGAAAAAAGCTTGTGGGTGTGATTGTTGGTATTTAAATACCAAGATTTATAAATATATGCACATGTTTATAAAATTTAAAGATTGCATAATACTTTACATATTTTGTGAGAATCAACAAACCTGTTACATTTACAAAGTAAACGATTGCAAGTGTACATAAACACACTCACACACAGGCATGTGTAAATTTTTTAACAGATTTCAAGGTTGTGTCGCTAAAATTCAAAACCGGCAACAGAAAAAAATAAAGAAGATGCGCAAAAGAAAACAACAACAACGGCCGCTTAGTGGGTCAAACTGTTGTGCGTTGCGCCCTTTTTATTTCTCTCTCTCTCCTCGCCTACTCGGTGTGTGCCACGCCTTGCAGCTATTGCAAAAAGTTACGTGAATAATATGCAAAACATATATGTATGATTTATAGCAAATAATATGTAGCCTAGCTCAACAAATAATTCGAGTCTACAAATAAAGCCTTAGCCTAAAATAGTTGCCATACAATTTAAATCAGATCAATGCAGCGACTACGATCATCATCATCATCATCATCATCAATGTCAAAGCAATCGTCAGCTACAGCGGTCACTGAGGGCCATCTTGGATTGATGATGGTTCATCTTTATCTTCACAATCGTCGTTTGCGACTGCGTCTTGGCTACCTGACCTAACAATATTGTTAACATGTGCATAATCGATTTACATAAAGAGCGCCAAGCTAACGCCATATATTAATTAGTATCAAAAAACGTGTTATATATGTATGTACATAAAAGAAGTATAGTTGGTTTGCTGCGTCCGTATGTAGTTAGTGACGTCACACTCTCATATGCTTGCAGGCACAGACACGCACACGTTCATTCTAACAGTGGATCCCGTTTACATATGTTATGCGCCAATGTTGCCAAATGTCATTTAATACTTATTTCTAAAATTATATATACTTATGTAAATGTTTTTTTTAATTGCATGCACAGCCATCGTCCAGACCCGAATCGGATTTTACGCTCGACTTGCCGCGCGCCGAGCAGCTGCGCCTCAAAATGGAAAAGGAGAAGAAGTTCCGCCAAAGATGTCGCCTCATCACAACATTTCTAAGTCTGGTATTCTTTCTACTGACCGTGATGGTTGTCAGTTTGGTTTTAACGCGCGGCAAACGCATGTTCGGCAGCATGATTTAGCCAAGGTGTTCCACATAAAACTGAATATTAGCATAGGGTATAAGCAAAAAAGAACAACTTAAAAAACAAAACAAAAACTAGAACAAAATTAAAGTGCCGTAGTAATTCTTAGATCCAACAGTAACAGCTACATACATAAATAACTGCAACGAATCGTAGGGGCATTAAGATAATAACTAATTTCTAGTATTAGATCTAGTTTATTCGTCACTAGTATACACTATAATTGGAGGGGCAACATGCTTGTTGTGCCTGTTTTCGGCAGCCGCAGCCGCAGTATTGTTAATAAATTATTTTTGTGATCTTAGCTGTTAAGTGAAAAGTGAAGTTTTGTGTTTGTCTAAAAATCATGATAAATCATGTCCATTATAAATGCTAATTGTATTAATCGTAAGAGTGTACTGTACAATGACCTTATAGTGTGTAAATGTGTTTGTGTGTGTGTCGATAAATAAAGCAATATCACTGAAAAAATACTAAAACAAAAAAAAAAGAACCGAAAATACGGGCTTATACGTTTCTCAAATACACACACATTTATTTGTTTAACCGTTATTCACGTTATACATATACATATATCATAGACAAACACACACACACAGACACAGCATGTGTTAGTGTTTGTATGTGTAGAAAATAAGTTCAAAGCATTTATCGTATGCATTAATTGCAACTTCTTACATACATATCTTTTGGTATCACAAATGTTATTTTTCTGTTTTTATTTTTTCGTTAAACTTGAACTTCAACTGTTTTTGTTTTGTTTTTTTGAGAAAATGCACAAAATTCTTATGTTACCGTATAAGGCAATTCAACTGTTAGGCATTGTTAGTAACTACGATACACTAGAAAAAATTACAATTACAATTGATACACAGTAAGCAATCGAGAAGGCAAATTCCTTAAATGAGAATCGTGCTGCTGTATCCCAAACAGACCTTTGGCCTGATCTGGTCCTATATCTTGTTTGGATTTCATAATATGCGTATGCTCTGCCGATTCACCTCGAACAGTGTGTGATCCTCCTCCTCATCGCTATTCACATCTTCAATGGCCATGGGCAGTGGTGTCAGCTCCTGATTGGCGCGATCCCCTTGGACGCCGTATTTGCGCTCAGCGCGCGATAAGCGCAGACTGTAATGAAAAGTGAAAATGGTATAAAAAGTCACGGGCTTTGTTTGTGTCAAATTAACGGAACTTTGCTGTGCACCAGTGTTGCCAACTGCGGATGTTAAAAACAGCTAAAAGAAGCTGAATGAGCATAACTCTGGCACAAGCTAAATCTGCTACGGCTGTCCGACCACTAAAAATAGCCAAATTAAGCTAGCAAATAGCTGAATTGGCAACACTGCTTCGACCGTTATCTGCAGACCGCGCTTAACGAACCGATCGTAGCAGCTGATTAGGAACGTTCAAACGCCACACTCGACTTACCGATAGACACGTACAACCAGCACCAAAATGGCCGAGCTTGTAATGCCCACCAGTATGTAGAAGATAGCTGCGTATGTATCCGGAAAATCTGTGTTGTCATTCATATTGGAATGCTCAATGTGCACATCCTCTTCGGGCAGCACGCCTGTTGGATGTTCATGTTGTGTCGCCGCCTGCTGGGATTTTTCACTTATGACGACTATTTCTTCTGGGACTGAAGAGTCTGGCGACGTCTGTTGCACGGCAGTGCCTTGTGCCGGCGGCAGTGGTGGAGCCTGATCCTTTTTTACGGTCCTTCGCGGATCTGTGTTGGCATTTGTGCTAGTTGTGTTCGGTGCCGCTGCGTCGCTTTGGTCATGGTGCGATAAAAACAACGTTAATAACAGTACCAGCGCCAATAAGTGCCAACTCTGTGAGACATGCTCCATCTATAAATATTCGTAATTTAAAACAATTAAGCGACAAACAGTAAGCACTTATTTCTGACGTATTCAAATTTTGTTGCTCTGTTCTATTTTTTATTTATTTACACTAACTAGGGTTGCCAGAAAGTCAATTTTGGTATCGATGGATTTTCTTGTGTTTAGGGCTGCAACAACGTCTTAATATCGATATAATTTTGTGGAGCTGCCAACTTTTGTCGAACGGTGCTGCCATATTAATGAAATCCACTCTGTCATGTACAGCGCGATCTGGCAACGCTGAGCTTCGTTTTAGTTGGAAAGAGTGATTTGTACAAATGGTAAAAAAATCGTCAAATTAGTTAAATTACAGTTAAAAAGTACTGAAAATTGCATTAAAATACACGCGTAGCATTAAACAACATCTGGAAACAGGTAAATTGCTGTTAAAACTTGTTGCTCTGATAAGATTCGCAAGTTGTATGCCAGTGCCAGTGCTGTGAAAATGGCGAACAAAAGGTGAAAAAAGTACGTGTGCTCCAAAAGGGAAATCACGACGCCACAAATAAAATGCCAGTGAAAATGTTAGACAGTTTTTCTTTATACAAAAAAAAAGAAAAACATTTGTGTTTGAAAACATAAAAACGGCCTTGTAATAAACCTATTTGCTAAGGTTGGTGCAATAAAACATGTTTTATTAGACCATTTACGTACGTCTTGTGTGCCTATGTTCGTGTATGTGTGTGTGTGTGTGTGTGTTTATTTTAACAGGAAGTTATAATATGCCCATGCACACATACACAAATTGCCTGATTTTTGTCGAATACTAAAACACACATGTATGTATGTATGTGGAAAGCGCTGCAAGGGTATTTATGATTATTTTTTGCTTGTTACTACATATTTTTCTAGTTTTGAGTCAATTGCAAGTTTGAACATTGCATATCGAATTACATATTTTTCAATGCGCCTCGAGCAGGGAGTTTTATATATGGATGCACTCACATACACACGAAAACATATGTATGTGTTTGTGTGTGTGCTTGTGTGTTTGTTGTTATACCCTATGCCAACCAGAATATGTGAAACTGGTATGCTGTTCCGAGCATATAAATTGTATGTGTGCCTTGGTGTGGGTGTCTCACTTAACTGTTTTCCTTTGCAATACTCATTCATTGAAATGTTGTTGTTTTTAAGTGTTGGTAATTGCGCGTCAGAGCAGGATAGCGAATGCGTTTAATTATATACGAGTGTGAAAGAGTACTGTGGAGTAAAGCCAATAGAGATTCGAAATCTTTGATTCCATATAGTCGTAAATCGTAAATCGGCAATATTTTGTTTTGTATTTAATCTTCGCGGCCTACTATAGCTAATTGATGTTGTGTGTATTTGCAGATTGAAAAAAAATACATATTTTATATCTTCCCCATAAATTGTTACACTTGATTTGCCAAAATTCCGACCAAAACACCCAAGACAAGATTAGCAGCCAAACGACGCAACCAGGACAGCCAGCCCACGTCCCAGTCGCCCGCGCAAGTTGTCGTCCTTTCACAGCAACAGCAACAGGAGCAGCAGCAGCAGCAACACCGGCTACATCAACCAGATCGGGTGGAAGGCAAACGTGATTTGCCACCGGCTGCCAAAATGAATCGTTCGAGCAATTCGCAGGCCACACAGCGGCCGGTCAATTTGGATGACATCTGGAAGGAGCTGGTGGAGGGTATATTGCAAATATTCCGGCATGAAAAATCGCTAACACGCAATCAGTATATGAGATTCTATACGCACGTCTATGACTATTGCACGAGCGTCAGCGCAGCACCGAGCGGACGCAGCAGCGGCAAGGCAGGCGGTGCTCAGCTGGTGGGCAAGAAACTGTACGATCGGCTCGAGGAATTCCTGGAGGACTATCTGAATGAATTGCTGACCACGTTCCAGTCAATAAGGGGCGAGGAGGTGCTGCTCTCGCGCTATACGAAGCAGTGGAAATCGTATCAGTTCTCCAGCACTGTGCTGGATGGCATTTGCAATTACCTGAATCGTAATTGGGTGAAACGTGAGTGCGAGGAGGGCCAGAAGGGCATCTATAAGATCTATCGTCTGGCTCTGGTCGCCTGGAAGGGGCATCTGTTCGAAGTGCTCAACGAGCCGGTGACCAAGGCGATACTCAAGTCCATTGAGGAGGAGCGCCACGGCAAGCTAATAAATCGTGCCCTAGTCCGCGATGTTATTGAGTGCTACGTCGAGTTGAGTTTCAATGAGGACGACACCGATGTCAACGAACGAAAGCTATCGGTCTATAAAGATAATTTCGAAGTGAAATTCATAGCCGACACCTACGATTTCTACGAGAAAGAGTCCGATGCGTTCCTATCCGCCTACACGGTGACAGAGTACTTGAAGCATGTCGAAACCCGTCTAGAGGAAGAGAAACAGCGCGTCCGTGGACGTAACTCGAAAAATGCCCTATCCTATCTGCACGAGACAACGGCGGATGTCCTCAAATCGACCTGCGAACAGGTAAGCAGCAATTCAATTAAGGATTGAGAGCTAACCTAGTGAAAGCTTTCGTGAAAAAGGAAGCTGACGATTAATCAACAGGCTTCTTTCCTTCCTTCTAAAAAGCTTTCACAGTGCTCCAAGTTGGAACTACCATAAAAGCTTTAAATTAATTCTGTAATTCTATTCGTACGCATCGTTCAGGTACTGATTGAGAAGCATTTGAGATTATTCCATACCGAGTTCCAGAACCTGTTGAATGCCGACAGAAATGAGGATCTGAAGCGCATGTATTCATTGGTTGCGCTTTCGCCCAAAAATCTGGATCAATTGAAGAAAATACTCGAGAATCACATACTGCAACAGGGCACAGAAGCCATCGAGAAATGTTGCACCAGCGATGCGGCCAACGATCCAAAAACCTATGTACAAACCATACTTGATACACACAAAAAGTACAATGCGCTCGTTTTGACCGCATTCGATAATGACAATGGATTTGTGGCCTCGTTGGACAAGGCGTGCGGTAAATTTATAAATTCCAATGTGGTGACGCGGCCAAACAATGCCGGCAAATCGCCCGAATTGTTGGCCAAATATTGCGATCTGTTGCTCAAGAAATCGTCAAAGAATCCGGAGGACAAAGAGCTAGAGGATAATTTGAATCAGGTGATGGTCGTCTTCAAATATATTGAGGATAAGGATGTCTTCCAGAAGTACTACTCAAATATGCTGGCAAAGCGTTTAGTCAGTCATACATCGGCGTCTGATGATGCCGAGGCAATGATGATCTCCAAGCTGAAGCAGACCTGCGGTTATGAATACACTGTTAAGCTGCAGCGCATGTTCCAGGACATTGGTCTGTCCAAGGACTTGAATTCAAATTTCAAGGAGTACCTGAAGACCCAAAATATAACATCCGAAATTGACTTTGGCATCGAGGTGCTATCAACAAACGCCTGGCCCTTCACGCAGAACAACAATTTTCTGCTACCCTCGGAACTGGAGCGATCCGTTCAACAGTTTACCATTTTCTACTCAGCTCGGCATTCGGGCCGCAAACTGAATTGGCTGTATCACAAATGTAAGGGCGAATTGATAATGAACGTGAATCGCAGCAATGTCGTCTACACACTGCAAGTGAGCACGTTCCAAATGTCGGTGCTGTTGCAGTTTAATGATCAGCTCAGCTTTACAGTGCAACAGCTGCGTGATAACACGCAATCCCAGCTAGAGAATTTGATACAGGTGAGCAGCATAAATTGGAGCAGAAACTATGTTATTAATGACATGCATTTTATGTGCTCGTTTTTTCTTTAGGTATTGCAAATACTGCTCAAGGCCAAAGTGCTGACGTCCAGCGATAGCGAGAATGCCCTCACATCCGACTCAACTGTGGAATTGTTTTTGGATTATAAGAGCAAGAAGCGTCGCATTAACATCAATCATCCGTTAAAGACTGAGCTTAAAGTTGAGCAGGAGACTGTCACCAAACACATTGAGGAGGATCGCAAGCTGTTGATTCAGGCGGCGATTGTACGCATCATGAAGATGCGCAAGCGTCTCAATCACACTAATCTCATCTCTGAGGTGCTCAATCAGCTGTCGACACGGTTTAAGCCCAATGTGCCGGTCATTAAGAAGTGCATCGATATATTGATTGAGAAGGAGTATCTGGAGCGCATGGAGGGACACAAAGACACCTATAGCTATCTAGCCTAAGTTCATGTTTATATATATATAAATATCGTTCCAAAATTATATATTTTGCCAGCCACTAGAAGAAGATATCAAGTCAGATATCAATTAGAGCCTGCCAATTTCCACACCTCCACCCACCCACCCACATCCCTGTATAAGTATACAACAATTAAGATCTGTACCCCCCGCCCATACCCCTCATCTAATGATTGTCGAATTAGCTACATGCTTTACGCATTTAGAATGCGCGCATATTTCACAACCAACAATCAAAGCAACATTTCATTTGCAACTTCCCCCCATTGTCATGATCATCATCATCTCGCTCAAAGGCAGCAGGAGTAAAGGATGAAAATTCCAACACGGAATTGTGCAAGCACAGATAAAAAAAAAAAGAAAACAAACAAATAATTCATGTAGCTTCTTGAATCATTTATAATAATGAGTTTTACTTAGTTTATTGCTGTTTTATAATTTTTTCATATATTACATTACGGAAAAGACAAAAAATGTTAAGTTCAAAAAACAAAAACAAAAAAAAGTAACAAAAACGAAACGAAATATATAAGTTGAAGCAGTTAATTAAACGGTACGTTTAAGCCGGCTTTCCCTAGCCTTTGTATTCAACCATTTCACAGTGATATCGAAACGTTGGGATACCTACTGTTTTTTTAAATGTAAATCGGCAATTTGCAAACTTGACAACGGCTGCGTTAAATATAAACAAAAACATACTTAAATGTGTACACATATTAAATACTCGACAAACAATATAAATTTATTAATTTTGAGGGAAGCCAGTGGCAAAATAAAATACAAATTATAAATCAAACTAGCCTAGAGCAGGCTCCACACAGTATAAAACTTAGAAGCCCATGCCAGTTACATGGGCTTTTGCAGACTGCTCTACGTAAACATATTATTCGGAAAGTACATTTTGTCTTTGCCTCTTTGTTTTTTGTGACAGCTTTCAAGTCGTTTTTGCAAAGCTACTTATATATAAACGTTAATTTAACTAGTGCGCAGCTGAGCACATTTTGCTGTGGCCCTTTGTTAGGTACTTATTTATAATATATAGTATATCTATGTGAATATTATTATATATATATATATGTATATGTATTTCTTTGATTGCGCGGTCTTATAAAACTACCAACAACAGAGATCGTCAAATCGTTTACGGAGAAGAGATGCTGCCTGGTCAGCAGCAGCTGCTAATCCTCGTCTTCGAGTGTTAGAACCTTCGTCTGAAAGCGCATCCGTTTTGTGTTCTTCACAACGCCGTTGGTGAGTAAATTCGTGCCTGGCTCCGTGCAGGGCAGAGCATTCCACATTCGCTTAACTCGTACCACCGCAATCGAATTGAAGTCGTATTTCTTTTTGGTATCAGGATCGAGGACTGCTTCGACTGGCGCCGACTCCGCGGCTGGCACAACTGTTGGCAGCTTGCGAAGCTTGACCACAGCTTGCTTTAGATTGGCGCTGCTGCGGCTGCTCACGCTCATCTTGTCATCGTCCGCATCCGAATGGCAATTATTGACCTCGGCCAGGGAGCAGCCACGTTTCTGTGGATTCGTCGCTTTCGATTTGGCCGCTTGCGAGCTGGATTGGAGAAGAAGGTAATTTAAGAAATAGCAATTGACATATTTAACCGACCTTTCTTGTGTGATTTGATATTCGTTGATGGTGGGCGGTGCGGCTGCGCATATCTTGCCCGGCTCCTCGGGATGGCAACCGTAGTCCTCGCCCTTCAGCCAGTTCTCGTAGCGCTCCGGCTGAAAGTGTCGCACAAATGTTTCCATGGAGATTTTAACCATATCACTGCGACATTTGCAAATGCTCGCTCGCTTGCCATACTCAATCCAGCGTTTGGAGGCAAAGTTTGTGGACTCGGCACCGTTGAAGCCATGATTAAAGCCAGCATGATATCCAAACGGAAATGTGATCATTATCTCGCCCGCCTCCTGTGTGATCTTATTGAATGGTATATTATGCTGACGCAACACCTTCGGACTAATCATGGTCATCTTGTGTCGCAGATATGCATTGCATTCCTGATAGTTCTCCACAAAGGTCTCGTTGGCTAGCTTTTCCAAGCGTCTGCCATAGATGGGCGGTATGGCATACCAGGTCTTTGGGGCACCGAAATGCAAATAATTTATGGAATACAAGTCCATGTCTTCGGTGTGCCAGGCAAACGAGCTCTTCCACATGCCAAAATACAAGTACGCCGTATTCACGCCATCTATTTCGATGCCATAATCTGTATTGACCAGATTCAGTATAGTGTCCAGTCGTCCGATATTCCAAACGTTCAGGTCCTCGTCGCTTAACGTGCCCTTAACATCGGCCGCATACAGCGGCGATATGTACGTTATGTTCTTCCAGTATTTACGCTCCAGATCGTCATAGTCAAAGTGACGGGGCGTCTGATGCAGCTCCGAGTTGGCCTTCTCCATGAACTGGCGCAGTGTCATCTGGCGGCGTTGTTGTATATTGATTTGCTGATAAACGCCGTGAGCGCTGGATAACCAAAATTGGGATTAGCCAACAGTAAAGCAAATTGTCTAAGCACTTCGCTTACCCAGTTACGACCTGACAGATCGGTGCCGGTATTGTCATATTTATGTTCTCAATATCATAGCCAGAACGCCGCGGTATCCATTCCTTGGGTGGAATGATTTTAACCAAGCCAGCCCTATGTGCTCCACGTGATTCCATGTACTCTATGTAGCCGGCAAAGTTGATGAACTCCTCATAGCTGGGCCGAAATGTCATAATGCGGGGCATATTGTGTTGGTCATCGTCGCCAAATGATAAACGAGTAGACGACATATTTAAAACAAATTTAACACAAAACAAATAAAAAAAGTGTTGGTAAAGTGCGTTTGGCACTTTTGCGACAAGCTCCAGTGCTGAACAATGCGCTTCGAGTGTTGGTTAGCGAGCCAAGTTAACCGTCCCGCTCTTGCTGTGAATTCAAATTCGCACATTTATATATATATATATTGAAATTTTCAAATACGTTGCGCTCTAGATATATGAATATGAAGCCAAAGCTTGCTTAGTTCATTTGAATATTATTTGAATGAAATTATTCATTTTACAAACATTTGTATGCATTTTGTTGTTGGTTTACTTAGAATTTGAAGATTTAGATTTGCGACTTCCCTAGATGATTAAAACTGTCGCGTTTTAATGACGCTCTTCTACGGAAATATAAATAATTACAGGAATCTTTGTAAATGACTCTCGAGATAAGACCAGACATTACAATACCAAATTTACTGTGTGTGCATACTAAAAAATTGATAAGACAATTGGCGGATAATACATCAATTAAATTCAGTATAATATATATATTTATGTTTATGTCTGTCACACATACAAATGCAATATATTTAAACCATATTACTAATTAGATAAATGACAAAACTATTTGTCAGTGCTTTATTGTTTTTACGACAGACAACAAACACGATAATGACTAACATTAAAGGCCAACAACTGGCGGCTATCTCAAAATCGGGCAGCACCGCAGATAATCAGAGTGGAATGGATTCTTGCAGCCGGTATAAAAGCCACAGTTGAAGGCATTTCACGTTTTAGTCGCCGATCAACAACGCGAGCGAACCGCAGAAGTGCCTACAAGAGCTTAAGAACAAAATACAAGGAAGATTGTAAATTTTTCAAACAAATTTAACAATTAATCTCAGCCATGGGTTTCGATAGCAACGCGGACAAGCCAATAAAACGTAAGTAGACTTTTGTTGTTTTCCACTTTCTGTTTCTGTGAATGTAAACTTAATAAGTGAAGTATTTAAGAGACCCTTGAATGGAAAGCAGCAATATTGATAACTGTTGATTCGAAAATTTTGAGTTGTAAATGAAAAATATGCAAGTGAATTATTTAAGACACTTTTCTTGTTTATTATACCCTGAATATACCCTGAACCCATTTAAAATGGGTATAAGGGTATATTGTATTTGTGCAAAATCCAAATGTATGTATCAGGCAGAAGGAAGCACTCCGACCCCATAAAGTATATATATTCTTGATCAGCACAAATAGCCGAGTCGATCTAGCCCTGTCCGTCTGTCTGACTGTCCGTCCGTCTGTCAGACTTGAACATTTAGATGAATGTCCTCCTAGTACCTGCGCAGAGCGAGTTTGTTTCCGATAATCGATAACTTACTCCGTTTCCAAGCAATCGATAAAAATCGATATCGATATCATGTTTTTTGGGCAATTTTGGTAAATAATAAGAGCTAGAGTCACCAAACTTGACATATAGTTTCTAAAATAGAATATATATATGCATTTGATGTTGGAAGAAGAGGGTTCAGGCTATCCCCTAGTCGGGAGCTCCCGACTAGAACCTCTTACTTGTTTTAAACAAGAGAATGTAAAGACATGTCTGAAGGACCGTTTCTAATTGATAAAAATATTATTATAATTTATTTTGATAACTCGTTGATTTCAAGTTTTTGAGTTGTGAACCGCTTGAGACATCCAATCTAATTGTTTGGAAAACGACTGATATTAGTAATTTATATAAAATGTGTACCTTTTAAATTTCAATTTCATAGATAGTTAGTTAATCTAGCACTCGTCGGAGTTGCTCCTCCAAAGAGCTTTTGCAATCAGCTCGAAGAGCTTATTGATACGCTGGAGTACGGGCTACTCGAGGCGCGACAACACGGAAAAATTGCTATCAAATTGTCGCATATTGCATTAATTAACAGTTTCTGATTATAAATATACAAATAGACGAGAGTCTTGTAGCCTACTTACAAAAGCTGAGAGTTTTATAAGAGTCTCCCCACAATATACTCAAAGCGTCTGGATATTATCTGGGCTGTATTTCAAAGTATTTATAAAATCGCGTAACGTTTTAATAAATGCTATAAATCTCATAAATCTGACATCGCCGCAAAGATAAGTGATGCGTTTTTGAATAGCGATACGTTTTATCATAATCAAATATTTGCTCTGTGATTAGCGCCCAGTTTGCCCGGCATTAAATCATTTGTTTAACTTCATTTTCATTTTTATTTTGAGGTTATATTTGAAATATTTAACGGTAACGGAATTTAGGCCCCCCTTTGTGCGCTCCACTGGCGTCGTTAAACTTTTCCATTGAGACGGATTTCGCCTTTTGTTTTTTCGCATTGGCATTCGTTAATGATAATGACACAATACTTGTTAAAAAGAAAACAAGTAAGAGGTTCTAGTCGGCAGCTCCCGACTAGGGAACACCCTGAATCCTCTTCTTCCAACATCAAATGCATATATATATTCTATTTTAGAAGCTATATGTCAAGTTTGGTGACTCTAGCTCTTATTATTTACCAAACTTGCCCAAAACACAGGATATCGATATCGATTTTTATCGATTGCTTGGAAACGGAGTAAGTTATCGATTATCGGAAACAAACTCGATCTGTGCAGGCACTAGGAGCACCTACATCTAAAATTTCTAGCTCTAGCTCATATAGGTTCTGTGATCCTTGCGTTCGTACATACGGACAGACGGACGGACGGACGGACCGACAGACGGACAGGGCTAGATCGACCCGGCTATTGATGCTGATCAAGAATATATATACTCCATGGGGTCGGAGATGCTTCCTTCTGCCTGTTACATACATTTGGATTTTGCACAAATACAATATACCCTTATACCCATTTTTAATGGGTTCAGGGTATAAAAAAAAGTAAATAAGCGTCACGTTTACTATCAGGGCAGCGTTAAAATGCATGTGCAAATAATCCTAGAATATAATTGAACAAATAACGCAACAATTTGCACTCATAAGTCCAAGCACCGAGTCGCCGCAACATGGTCTATCTCCGAGCTAGCGAAAGGACTCCGCTCCTGATTGGCGCCCAGCTGAGCTACTTAGCTAGTTAAACTCTTTAGCTAAATATATAGTATATAGATTTTGTTTATCGTATTTATGTTATCTTTACAGCCAGCAGAGTGGGCGCACGTCACGGCCAGGCGATTCTGCTGTTCGTGGGCATGATGATCAATTACTTTCAGCGTGTAAATATCTCCGCTGCGATTGTGCCCATGACTCAATTGACAGCGGGTGCTCCGTATTACGATTGGGATCTAGCCGAGAAGTCCCTAATTTTGAGCAGCTTCTTTTGGGGCTACGTGCTGTCCCAGGTGCCGTCAGGTGAGAAAATCAATTAGCCAACAATTAGTTATAAGACGCGAACGCGATTTTTTGCCCCGGGTGAAGCACACGCAACTAGACTCTGGCATGCTGTACTTTTTTCTAAGCTTGTAATTCCCAACCAGTTAAAGCTTTGACAATCTGCTAATGATAGAAGTGTGAGGTTCATTCATTACTTCACCCTTCTCTTGTAATTCCCAACTAGTTTAGGCTTTGACAATCTGATAGATGCGTGAGGTTCATTCATTAATTCACATTTCTCTTGTAATTCTCAACCAGTTACAGCTTTGACAGTCTGATAGATGCGTGAGGTTCATTCATTAATTCACACTTCTCTTGTAATTCCCAACTAGTTAAGACTTTGACAATCTGATAGATGCGTGAGGTTCATTCATTAATTTACACTACTCTTGCAATTCTCAACTAGTTAAAGCTTTAACAGTCTGATAGATGCATGAGGTTCATTCACACTCATCTTCGATCTGATTTTACAGGCTTGTTGGCGAAACGTTTTGGTGCCAAATATGTGATTAGCTTGGCCACAGCCGCGGGCGGCATCCTGTGCTTCTTTCATCCCCTGGCTGCGGAGGGTGGCTGGATCGATATCTGTGTGCTGCGCGTGCTGACCGGCCTGGTCCAGGGCAGTGTTTATCCATGTGTGCACACGCTATTGTCCAAATGGGTGCCGCGCACAGAGCGTGGCTTTCTCACGACTGGCATCTATTCGGGCGCACAGTTTGGCACGGCGGTTATTCTAGTTAGCAGCGGTGACATATTTGAGTCCAGCATGGGCTGGCCGGGACTCTTTTACATTTCTGGTGGTCTGAGCCTGGCCTGGGCGCTGCTCTTTCTGTGGCAGGGCGCCAACGAGCCGGCCACATCACGCAACATCAGCAAAATCGAACGCGAATACATCGAAAGTCTGACGGGCAGCAATAACAGCGGTCAGGTGAGTGCCATTCATGTTTCTAGTTGAGCCCTAGAATCGGTTAATTCAGACAAGTATCGAGCAAAAATATTCACTCAACATTCAAACAAAGTTCGAGTTCGTCGAGCCAGCAACATGTTCGAGCTAACGGGCAATGCAACTGCAACTCGAACTTGCTCAAACGACATAATTGTTCGTGTATCCGAAAAGTGATTGACTCGATGCAGGGCTCGCAGTTCCTAGCTAATGATAATTGTGATAATTGTCCTGTTGCGATCCATAATACTGCAGTCCTTGCCTGTGCCTTGGATGTCCATCTTCAGTTCGTCGGCCTTCTATGGTCTGCTGGCCGCCCATTGCGGCTTCACCTGGGGCTTTTACACGCTGCTCACGGAGATGCCCACCTATATGAGCAAGGTACTCAAACTGAATGTCAAGTCAAATGCGCTGCTCTCCTCCTTGCCCTACTTTGCCATGGGTGTGCTGTGCTTTGTGGTCAGTCCCATTTCCGATCTGCTTATCAATCGGGGCAGCATTACGGTTACCACTGCACGTAAGTTGTTCAACTCAATTGGCCAGTGGGTGCCCATGGGCTGCCTAATTGGGCTGGGCTACATGACCGCCGACGAGAAGATCGGCGCCATTGTCCTGCTCACCCTGGCCGTGGGCATCAATGCAGCCTGCTTTTGCGGTTACCTCGTTAATCACATGGACTTGTCGCCAAACTTTGCTGGTCCCATGATGGGCGTCACAAATGGCCTGGCTGGAGTAACATCTATTGTGGCGCCCTTGGTTGTGGGCGCCATTTTGACGGATGAGGAGGATCCTACCCAATGGCGCATAGTTTTCTTTATCACCGGTGGCATCTACCTGCTATGCAATGCGCTCTTCGTACTCCTGGGCAAGGCCACGGTGCAGCCCTGGAACGACCCGCCCAGCGTGTCCAGCACAACGACTCTACGCAACAACTTACAGGTGGATTCCAGAACCATAGCACCGATAGACAGCAAAGAGGATCGGTTTTGAGTTGTAGTCATAGAAAGTTGTAATTAAATAAGTTTAAGTTAAGATTAGCATAAATACATTTTGTGATAGGTCTTCGAGCGTTGGAAGCAGTTGAAAAGTCGCCGGTTCAAATTCATCGGCATATCTCGCAAACGATACCACTTGCATTTTAGATATTACTTATTCCACCCCGGCAACGCCGGTTAATTTTTTGTGAAAATGTGAAGTGCAAGTCCTCATTAGCTGATTGAGTGTAAGACCAAAAAAAAAACAACCTTAAAATAGATATGTTAAGTATTTTAAAGAGAAAAGAGGATTCGGCATTGGAACAATTGATTATAAAAGCAGATTACCAGCAAATTCAGGTGAAAGCTATTTAGAAGGAAACCTCGGCTAGATAACAACTTGACACAAACAATGCAATTGCAGAAAAACAATGCCATAACCTGGCAGTTCTTCAACGAAAAGAAAATCAACTTCTAGATGCGCAGTTGTAGACAGATAAGTTTAGAAACATTTAACATTTATTTCATAAACCTAGTATAAAGCATCCAAAGTTTAATGTACTCTGAATACACCTATAAACATATACAATGGGAAATCACAAAATGTTGCTTAAACAGCATAAGACCTTGTCTGTGGAATCAGCATTTACTGGCATTTATTGGACCCGCCTTCCAGTTGAACAACGCTCGGGTTTATCTCTACGACTGCACGAGCCCAAATTATACACAAATATGGCATAAACTCTAGTCTGGCGAGATGTTTATCGCTCGAATCTTATTTTACGATTCATTTCACGCCGAGGTCCTTTCGTAATTTAATGGAATCGCTGTTAATTAACTTTCTCCTCATGCTGCAACAGCAAATGCTGCTCGGTTAGTTCTTCATTGATGCGACGAGCTACCGACCGCGTGCTCAGTATGGTCCAAATGGACGCCGTCCAGGTAAGGGCAATTGTGGCATAGAGCACAAATATATAGTCATTGGCATCGCCCACAGGTATCTCCGCGTGCAGCGCTCGCTCCGTTTGAAAGTTCGCCTTTACTCGCCGCCAGTTACAATTATCGGCTGTCAACTGTTTGGATTGCTCTTCAAAATCGGTTTTATGCTCGCCAAGGCAGTAGAACTTATCTGGTCCATCTAATAATTCCGTGTCAATGAGTTCCTTATCGCCCATTGGACAGCTCAGATAAAGTTGGGGTGCGCCTATTGCGACCGTGGCCGAGGTGCTGCACAGCGAATGGAATTATTATATCAATATTTATACATATATATATATATATATATATAGACGATTTACTAGTTACGGCTCGCGGCGTGATAGCGAAAATGAATGGGCAGCGTTAGGGTATCCGTAATCTTGGGCGTTCCACGTAACAGCACCGAAAACGGTTCAGCCTTTTCGGTGATGATTTCAACATCCACGAATTTCGGATACACTGCATCCAGCTGCAAAGCAACAAGATGGAACTAAGTCTGTCGTTAAAGGTATTTATATATAGCCTATGTAACATGCAATAGTAGACTTCTCCGACCCCATCAAGTGTATATATTCTTGATCAGCATCGAAAACCTAGTCCATCTAGCCAAGTTGATCTATAGTACATGTCCACCTTAGAGGCTTTCCTTCCCTATTGCACTCGCCTACTCTTCCCTCCATTCATCACATATTTGTAGATATAGCATTTGGCTCTGGTACTCCCACACACATTTCAATACTATAGTTAAGCTCTGGAAGTTCCCTAAAGATCGGAGAAGCTTCGGAGGTTAGTCGAGAATGCATATTCCAAGGGGAAGAGATACGAGACACGTGGACTGACTGCGCAACAAGTGTCGTGCGTGGTAGTTGGTTTTGTAGTGTCAGCTCTGTGCCGGGTAAAGGGTATCTCCTAGTCGGGTACTCCCGCTGTGCTCACCATTTTCAAGCGTTGCAGTCCGTCCAGCTCGTCGGTGCTGACATAAACGGCTGCAGGCAAAGGTTGGGCCAGCATATACTGACAATTCGAGCCCGCGAGTGGTGTTTTATCAAACTGCACGGTGTACTTTAGTTTTCTATTTGAAGAACATATTAATTAAACACTTAAAATAACATTTGATTCATATAGAAACCTATGCATGCCGGCTTCGTCCATTTCAATGCGCACCGTGGGTTGCTGCTGCAGAAAACAGCATACTCCGCTTAGCAGCAACGCGGCAATTACATTAAATACAACAAACGTTGCATATTTGAAACACTTCATGGTTACAAATTAAAAAAAAAAGTGCACAATTTTTTATTTATTTATCATAGCCAAATGCATAGGACGCAGGGTTGCCAGCTTGCTTTAATACCAAATGTCAATTTTAATGGGCTGGCAACCTAGCAAAAAAAATTAGCGCGCAATTTGAAGTTAAAAAACCCAAATCGAAAAATTCCATACATTTCTGTAATTTAATTGTTTGTTGTAATTAAGTGTAACATTTTGTTGTTAAACATTTCATTGTGTTTTCTTAAAATAAGTGCAAAACTTGTTCATTATTTTGTTGCTGTAATCCAAACATATAGCACCCAGAGTTGCCAACTTTCTTAAGCGCGAATTGTCAATTCCTGTGTGTGTTGCCAACTTAAGTCAAATATTCCGCGTATAAACTATAAGTAGATCAACCTAATTTTAAATCTAATTCATTTTTTTATCATCTTTTAATTTTTGCAATTTAATTCCTTGTATAATTGCGAGCCCTGTCGTGCCAGTTTATCGGCCATTTCATTGCCCTTAATGCCTTTATGCGCCTCGACGTAGTTCTTTAAAAGAGAAACGAGTATTAATTGAGGCAAGTTAAATAGTAAATATGGTTAATAAGACGCACCCAATTAACGTTAATTTCCTTGCTTTGCAGCAGCTCATCCAATTCTTTGAAATCAACGACATTCTTAACTGGCTCCATATTGGGTAAACGCCAACCGCGCTTCTTCCAGCCTGGCACCCATTTGGTTATTGAATTGATCAGAAACTGCGAATCTGTGTTGATGCTGAGCTTTTTTATGCCCAAATCCAATGCTGTTTTAATTGCATATATGGCAGCCTGTATCTCGCCCACATTGTTGGTCACCCGACCCAGCACGGGTTTCGCAGCGTTTCTAAACGGAAGGATTGAGTGGAAAATAAGCCTCGATATGCAAACGCTTTGCTCTGGACTTACAATTGATGATTGTCGCCAAAATAGACGCCGAAACCGGCGCATGCATCCTTTCGTCCATTGCCGAGGCATGATCCATCCGTATATACAATCACATAGCCTTCGGCATTCAATGTAAACTCAAATGCTCCGATTTGTTTGAGTGCAACAGGTTCGTCCGCATTTGACGTGTGCCGCGGAATTTTGTAAGTACCAGAATTATTACTTTGTAACTTGCGTTTGCGACTGCCAGACTGTGTAGGAAATCCTTCCACCTCCTCCATGACTCCCACCTAAAAAGCATAGACATTAGTATTCAAGGAATCCGGCTGCTGCGTCCCCTATTTACCAGATCTTCGTCCGTGACCTCTTGTTGTTGGACAACATCTTCAGGCCAAAAATCTTTAGGCTTTGCCTCATGCCGCTTCTGCTGATACTCCTGACGAGGCGCCCAGCTGGCTGGCGGCGGCTGCCTTTGTCCGAGTGCCACAGCCACTTCATCTGGTGCGTAATTTGCTGTGGCGCCAGCTGGATTTATGAATTGCTCCGCCTCTTGGCGCGTGTTGAACTTCTTGTATATGGCTCCCTTGAAGCCGTTTACCTGCTGCTGACATTGCGCCCAGTTATCATAAATGCCAACCTGTCGTCCTTTTGCAACTGCATAGTAGGCCATTCTTCGTTTTAATATGCTCACATTGTACAGGAGTTGCGAACGCAGCAGCCCAAACATTCTGCGCCTTAAGTGTTGGAAAATGTTGCACAAGCCTTGCCAGATGGTTAAACTATCGTGTTTGTTTTTCCAATTTTCAAGTGTAGGTGAAATAAGTTGTCAGATGAATTTGAAAGTTGATGAATTTTTGATTTGTATATGAATAGCGACATCAAACAACAATGCAAATCATTGCAGCGATACCAGAAAATAGATAATTAATTATCCATGAACAAATTGATACAAATATTGACAAATATTCCAAATGTTATAGCCAATGGGCAATCCCTCTTTTTTTTCTTCTGACTGACATAGTTGCCACCTTGACATCATTTCTTAGCTGCAACAAGTTGCTATCGGCAGTAAAACTTTACACCAACGCTGTTAGTGTTATGCATCTGTTAAATGCACCAACTTGGCCACACTGCACTCTAGCCGACGACTGTTAACAATGGTAAACACTGGGTAAGAATTGATTGACTTAGAAAATAAACTAAGTAAATATAATAGTATATTAGAAAGTTACAGGGTAAAACGCTCTTCATTACGGGCGCATCTCGTGGCATTGGAAAGGCGATTGCTTTGAAAGCGGCGCGCGATGGCGCAAATATTGTTATTGCCGCCAAAACAGCTGAGCCACATCCAAAATTATCCGGCACTATCTACACGGCCGCAGAGGAGGGTATGTAAATGCAATTTAAGCGAATGTACAACACTACATCTTGACTTTAATTAACAGTAGTTAGGGCGGGTGGCAAAGCGCTACCCTGTATTCTGGACGTTCGCAATGAGCAACAGGTTCAACGCGCGGTTGAGGCAGCAGCTGCATATTTCGGAGGCATAGATATCTCGCAACGCAGAGGTCATGGCAGATGCAGCTTATGTAATAATTTGCCGAGACTCCAGGGCATATACAGGTAACTTTTTTATTGACGATGAGGTTTTATTGAACGTGGGGCTTAAAGATTTTGGTAAATATGCCTGTCACCCAGAAAATATGCACAAATTAAAATTAGCTTTGTTCATGGAAGATGAAGGTCTATTAGCAAAGTTGTAATGGTCGGTTAGCCAAACATTTGTTGAGTAATTTAAATAAATCAATAGTATAGTTTAAATAAGTTTTCAAATGCGACCATATATTTTGAAATTTAATTGTTTTGGTATAATTCAAAATGGTATTTGGTCAATTTAATAATAACAAGATTTGGTCACACTGGACTTCAGCGCTCTTTAGATTAGCAGAATTTGCCAGCAATAACAATGAGAAACACTGGGTAAGGCAGTCAAATTGAAGAGTGACAAACAAATGGCAAATAAAAAGTAAATAGAAAATTACAGGGCAAAACGCTCTTCATAACGGGCGCATCTCGTGGCATTGGCAAGGCGATTGCTTTGAAAGCAGCGCGCGATGGCGCAAATATTGTTATTGCCGCCAAAACAGCTGAGCCACATCCAAAATTACCTGGCACTATCTACACGGCCGCAGAGGAGAGTACGTAAATGCACTTTGTATCCCAGTTGGAGTTTGTACTAGTACATGGACAAACATAATCTGATTGTTATCTTGATATTAACTCACAGTCGAAAGGGCAGGTGGCAAAGCTTTGCCCTGCATTGTTGATGTACGCGACGAGAAACAGGTTCAACAGGCTGTGGAAGCAGCTGTTGCCAAATTCGGAGGCATAGATATTGTGATAAACAATGCGAGCGCCATTTCCATTACTCCAACGCTGGAGACGGACATGAAGCGTTATGATCTGATGCAAAACATAAACACAAGGGGCACGTTCCTGGTGTAAGTGCACCCTTTAGCTTGCCCAGAAATAACCATTAACGATTACTTAAATTCCACAGTTCGAAAACTTGTTTACCTTATCTACTGAAGAGCGAGAATCCGCACATCTTGAACTTATCGCCCCCACTGAACATGAAGCCCCATTGGTTCTCCAATCACACCGCCTACACTATCGCCAAATATGGCATGTCTATGTGTGTGCTGGGCATGTCCGAGGAGTTTCGGGATCGAGGCGTGGCCGTCAATGCTCTGTGGCCACGGACAACTGTTAATACGGCGGCGGTGGAAATGTTGCAGGGCTCGGAGGGTGCGTTGTATGCTCGCAAGCCGGAGGTTATGGCAGATGCAGCATATGCCATAATTTGTCGCGATGCCAAGGAATACACGGGCAATTTCTTTATTGACGATGAGGTTTTATTGGATGTGGGTGTTAAAGATTTTAGCAAGTATGCTTGCCACCCGGAAAACATGCACAAATTGCAATTGGATGTCTTTTTAGACGATGAAGGTCCATTTGCAAAGTTGTGATTGTAAATGGTTACTGTATTTCTGTTATGTTGAGCAAAATGCCTAATAATTAATAAATCTGTGAACATTTAATTTTAGCTTGGCGCCAAAAGTTGGCAGCATACCGATATCGATAAGCACAAAATACCGATGGAATTGTGTTAGTATTTTTCGCGCTTTGCGTACATTCGCTATAATTATCGATAAATTAATCGGCTCTGGCTCACAGCAGCAACCACTAGTGGCTGACCAGTTCAGTTGAACAAGTTCGCTACCAAAGAACGCAAGAATTTCGAGGGACGCCTACATGTGCCAAAATGAGAAGCGAATTTTATTTGTTTTTACTGATTTTTGTGTCAAAAAATGTGGTTGAATCGGCGAAATTAAATCATCCGCGCGTACTGCTGCCCATATTTCAAGACAAATCCATCAATTTCACGCTGGAAGTTGTCGATCCCAACTGCTACAAATGGTGCGTCTGCCGGGAAACCGGCGCCGGTTTTTATAACCTAAAATTGCAATTTGTTGATTAATTTTTTGCCTACATTTTCAGGACTTCATCGCGTCAGGATTTGATAAGTGTTACGCCCGTTTACAGTGGTTTCAGCGAGTGCGCCAGCCAGGCAATTGTTACCGTACAGACACGTGAGAAACGCCGCAATACGGCAATTGTATTCGCCGAGGAGGTGGCCACCGGCGCGACGCTTCGCTGCGATGTGATAGTCGATACGATTGATCGCCTAAATGTGCGCACAGCCACGCGGCAACTGTACCTGGAGGAGGCGCCAGCCACTTTCGAGCTGCACGCATTCGATTCCCAGGGCAATGAGTTCTTTACGCTGGAGGGCATTGAGTTCAATTGGGATATATCCGCTTCGAGCAGCAATATGCCGCCAGCTCTGCGTTTTCTCACCTTTTCGGACAGTCCGTTTCATGTGGTGCCGCCGGCATTGGAGAAATTCGAAGCGGCCGGAGTTAAGGGCTACATGATCTTGCTGGAGGGCATCAATACGGGCACCTCCAAGGTGGCTGTCAGCATGCCGCAGCCGGAGTACAGGCATGTGCCGCCTATTGAGGTGTACATCAGTGTGTTGGCCAACATCATTATTGAGCCATCTGAGGTGACCATCATGGCGGGCGATACCATCACCTTTCGCATTCTGCAGCTCAAAATGGACAGACTGCACGATATAACGGCAAATCGTCAGTACTTTCTCGAGGTTGAGGATGAGAATATTGCCTACCTGAAGAGCAGCAGCGTCACAGGCTCACGTTTGGGACGTACCCAAGTCTTTTTGCGGGATCGCAATATGCCGCAGCAGGGCGACAGTGCGTCAGACAAGCCGAAAGGACCCAGCGCTTTATTGACCGTGGCGGAGCCCCAGAAGCTGGGCATAAGTCTGCTGCCGCACAATAACTGGATTACGGTAAAAGGCGAACGCCACGAGGTTGCCCTGGATCTGTTTGCCAGCGATGGGCAAAAGATAACCCTGGGCACACGCTACAACATCGGCTCCGAGTTGGATGAATCCTTGTTTACGATTCTGAAGAAGACGCGCAATGGCAGCCGGCTGTACGGCGAGGCGATCAGGCAGGGCTCCACACAAGTTTATGGCTCCTACAAGGACGTAAGTATAGTTTTATATCTTAATGATGGTCTACTAATTGAAAACATCTTGCAGCTCTCGGTGCAGGCAGAGATGCAAGTCTTTGAGGAGCTCGTTCTGCGGCCCACCAAAGTGATTCTGCCCTACGATCCAAACACCGTGAAGCCGCAGAAATTTCAATTTTATGCAACTGGCGGCGATTACAACTATATGTGGTACTCGGGCAATCCGCAGGTGCTGCAAATCGATGGCCAGGGCCTGGCCACAACGGAAATACGTGATGTGCGTATGCCCGGCGTATCCCAGGAGCTAATTGATGCCGGTGTCCAGCTAGCTGCGCATACCACAGTGCGTGTCGCGTTGACCAAGAACCAGAAGGTTTCACGCCAAGCACAGATCTACTTTTTGCCACCAAAGCGTCTGGAGATTAAGCAATTCAACTTTGAGACAGCGCTCAGGGATTATGTGCGCCTGCATGTTGCCGTCTATGCGCATGTGAATGGCAGCTATGTGCCTTACACGAAATGCGACAATTTGCATTTCCAGCTGGACTTTTCGCATCAGATATTACAGCTGGAAAATGGGCCTGTTGCCGACACACAGGAACAACTCGCGCCGGAGGCATGCCATGTGTTGCGCCTACGCAGCACCGCCGTGGGCAGCACCTTGTTGCGCATTTCCTATAGCTTCCAGGACAAGGTCTTGCAGGACTCTGTCGATTTGCATGTATACGAACCGCTGTCTGTCCTCAATCCGCTGGAGAACGAGATAATCCTGCCCATTGGCGCTTCACGTAATGTTATCTATGCGCATGGACCGCAACGCATATTTACGCTCGAGGCGGAACTCACAAAGGAAACCAAATTTGATGGCAAAATTATTAAAGTCTCCGAAATAGAGTTTGATACGCAGAATGCTCTAACGGCTTTCACTGTGCTGTGCCGTGAGCTGGGCAAGACGGAGTTTACGTATCGTGTCCACAATACGCTGGCCACGCCCAGCTTTGCCGCCTACCATGCCGAGGTGACCACCAAGGTGCACTGCGTTCGTCCGCGCTTCCTTAAGCTCTATGCACGTCAGCAGCTGCGCCAATCTTGTCCCGTGGAGCTGCGCTCTTCGCTGCTGTATCTCAAAGAGGAGGAGAACAAGTTTAATATTGAAATCGAGGTGCAGGATGTCAAGAATCGCAAGCTCATGAACATCAGTTCGTTGTGGCTCGAATGGGAGTTTGCCGCAGGCGATGAACGCTATCAAACCGACAGCATTCCCCACCAGCAGCTGCCCGAAGTGGAACTCTATCATGGCGTGCGTCTGCCAGCTCGAGATGTGCTTGTTCTGACCCTAAGCGAAGTGGCGCCCAACTTTCGCATCAAGGGCACAGTCGCCCACTACAATGACAAGCTGCTCGCCCAGCAGGGCATACACGCAGAGCGTCCCCCATTTGGTGTCAAGAATGTGGGTATACAAATATATTCATATAAATATAATTACAATTAATGTATGCAATTTCCCTTGCAGCAGAAGACGGGTGAAGTCACCAAGCCTGTGATTGAGAATGAGATACGCTTCCATACGGTGAATAGCACGCTGTTGCCAACAGATCATGTCAGCATTTATTTGGCGCCTTCGCACAGCGAACGCATACCCATCGCCCAGGGCAGCGGCTTCTTTCAGCTGGAGCTCTCCGAGCAGGGCATTGTGCAGGTTACCCATGATGAGAATCTGCAGCAGCTGGTGTTGACCCCATTGCGTTTAGGTCATGTGCGACTGGAGCTAACGGATCGCTGCCTGATGAACGAGCCCGCACATTTGTCCATCTCCGTCGTGGGCATCGGTTCAATAAGTGTGCTCGCTTTGGATCGCGTCGAGCGCACCAATTCCATTGAGGCCATTGTGCGTCTGTTCGATACGAATGACAATCTATTGCACATTGATTCCGATATGCTGAGCGTCTATCAGCTGTCCGAACTGGTGTTTGATCCCACCGTACTGAGCGTCAGGCTGGATGAGCAACATAATTTGGGTGTGGGCGAAATACGCTACAGCATAACGGGCAACAATATTGGCGAGACAAAGATCGTCTTTCAGTCGGGCAAGGGCGAGCGTCAGGTATCCAGTGAGCCGCTCAATGTGCAGGTCTTTGCACCCATCCGGCTTTATCCACGCAATTCAACGCTCGTCGTCGGCTCCAGCATACAAATCTTCTACCAAGGCGGACCGCAGCCCAACACAAACATAGTTTACAGCGTCCAGCAACAGCATGTGGCCAGTAAGTTGGCATCGATATCTGCTAAAGAATTCGTATTAATCTTTCTCTTTACAGCCATGAGCTCAGCTATTGTCACTGCACATAAGCTGGGCTCCACCCGGATAACTGGCCGCTGCCTGCTCAAGAATCCCATTAATGGCAAGGATGAGATCGTCTCGGAGGATACAGTGGAGGTGCGTGTCGTTGCCCTGACTGCCGTGCAAGTCCGCACGCCCCTCGTACGCATACGCGCCGGCGCCGTCATGCCTGCCACGCTGTGGGGTCAACCGGATCTGTCGCCCATGGTGCTCGGCACACTAGAGAATATGCGCATTAGCTGGACAGTCAATCAGGCGGATGTTGTTGAGATCTTTAACGTGTTCACAGCAGCGGGTAAGTTGTATATTCTAGAGTATTTACGTGTTAATTAAAGCGTGCACAGATACCGCATTGTTGCGCAGAGATTTTAGCTCAATGCCCACCAAGTGCACGCATAACAAACAGTTCTCCGATGAGCTTGCATGGTTGAGTTCCAGTGCAGGAACAGATACGGAACAAACAAGTTTTCAAGTCCTGCCTAAATCAACTGGGCATATAAGGGTATTACAATTTATGTAAAACCTGCTGATTTTGCAAAGCTTAGGATTTTCGAAATATTGATCCCTAAACTGGAACCGAAAGAAATGTTGATTGTGTTTATGTAGGGAATAGGTTTAATAGAAGACCTGTAAGTTCAGAAAGGATTACGAAAGATCGTGGTACTCCGACCACATACTACTTCATTAAGACTTATGGCATCTTCAAAAAGATCCCATTCCAATTCCAAAGATGGAAAAAGGGTGAACAAATTCAGCTGAGTTAATTTCGTGCACACCCAAGTTAATTTAGCTGGTATATACAATTTGTGTATACATCCATTTGTCAGTTGCTCTCACTAATTCCTACCTCTTCTTTCCACCCATTTTAGGCATAGAGTACCAAAGCAGCGACTTAATTTCTGTGCGTATACGCGCACTCAATCCCGGCAAGGTTACCATTACGGCCTCTGTGCATTTGCCGGATGGCGTCAAGCTGCCAGCGTCGAGCGTCGAGCTAATTGGTAAGTATTTAAGTGGCCCAATAGACCACAAGCCCATTTGGACTAGTTGTTGGGTGTTGCTGGTATCAAGAGAACCGAACCGAACCGAAACGAACTGAACTGAACCGCAAATTGAAATTGTTATCGCCACAGTTTTCAAAACACTGGAGCTGCTCGCACCAAAGCCGATAACAATGGACTGGATTTTGGCGGCGCCACGCAGTACGCTTCAGTTGAAATGTAATATGGATGATGCGGTCTATAAGTTGGATGCCCAGAGCAGCGGAATTGTGGCTGTCACGCCAGATGGTGTTGTCCACACAAAGGATACCCTCGGCCGTGATCTGATAATTGTGAGTCCCAGTGTGTCCGTGTGTACTTGGGTTTGTTTTGGATTGTGCCTTAAATCGGCTTACCTCCTGCCAATTGCATTTAATTTGATACATATTGTTATATATATGTATATACTTACTTTTTTATTTTGTTTTCTCCTTTTGCCAGGCTAAGACCGTCGACCAAACACTGCCCATTGGCATTGAAGTGAAGAATGTGCAATACATTTTGGTGACTCTGCAGCCGGACATCAAATTGAAACAGCTGGAGCATAAAATACCACGCGGCATGAATTTTATATTTAAAGTCTCGCTGCACGACAATCTCGGCAACGAGTTCTCCCACAATATTGAGGATGTGAACGGTCTGCGCTACGATTTGGCCACCAAGGATGTGGTCGATGCACAGATTGGCAATAATCTGACAATTGCGGTGAGCATCGAACACTTTGCCACATTTTGACTCTCAACTATTTTAGTCGCGAGGTCTTCTATAGCGTATACATATATGTGCTTCAATTCTAACATCTGCGACTCGTTTATATGTAAATGTGAACCTTAAATTTTGAGCAAGTTATTTCAATTTCTGTTTTGTGCGCCTGCTAACAACAAAACCTCTGCATTTTAATGCACTCGCACCAAAGCACCTGCCTTGCCACCTGAGCTCCTCTCTTTCAACTGCCGTCAAAAAATAGAACCAGCAAAAAAATCTCAGCGTTCGGCCGACCGGCACGTCGCCTGGCTTGGCCAACACTATTTTCGTTTTATTATACCCTAGCCAGACGGGCATTTCAAGTTTGTCGCGAATTGTGAGGCACATTAAAAGAGAGAAGTCTATAAAATGCCGGTCTAACTGCATACTCAGCATACAGCTGGGATTTTTTAACGAAACTTATTGCTGCTGCTTCTCACTGCGGCAGGCTGTGAGCCTGCTCAGGCGGATTGGATAAGTTATCATATAGGAATAATTATATGAAAAGTGACATTTTGTATAAAAACTTAAGAGTTATTTTTTGTAGGTTTTTTATGCAAGCTCTTTAATTGTCTACCCTGCACGAGCTGTAAACATTTTGGCATAGTTTAATCAAAATCGCATTTATTTGTAAAAAAAATAGCCTTGCTTCCATTTTCACCTGTCACAAGTCTCTGCCAGAGTATTCAACATTCGGCTTGCCTTCGACAATTCCCCCCCTTTTTTTTTGTTATTTTTGTTCCTTATTTTACTGGACTGTGGCACGTTGATGTCACCACATAAAAATGCAACGATGCGTTGTCGCACATGCTGCAGCTTTTGGCTCTTAAAAATTGCGACCGCCGACCACAGGCACAAAACTCTTCAAGCTGCGCAACAAAAACATGCATTAAATTCCAAATGTACCAGCAAAGAGAGATGCACCTAACCCAATTAACCCGACGGCTAGCTAGATATATTTTGAATGGATGTTCTTTTTTTTTTTGTTTCCTTTTCACAGTTGAATTTGCAACGCGAGACAAGCAACATGATTGCCATCAGTTTAAAGGATTCAACCGGAGTTAAGCATGCTGAGGATTACATCAAGCTGTCTGTGGCCGAGTCGCAGCTTATATACCCCACCAGGGTGAGTATATATATGAGTAGCTTTATATATATCTCTATACATGTCGGCTTGTTGCAACAAGCTGCAAAGTTAGTTAAGTATGCGATATTTGATGCCTGATATACAGGGTATATTTTACGGTTTTTTGATTTGATTTCTCGTTGCTCATAAATCAATTTGCTTTGGCCTTTTCCTTCCCCACTCTATTTTTTTCACATGTGTCCATCGCATAACTGTTGTAACATTGGCAAACTGCGTCACTATTTTACGGGATTTGTCAACACAAAATAAAACGAAACCACAAATGTCCGACCCGCACCACCCACTCATCGCAATGCCAGCAGACAATTTTCTCTGTGGGTGACATCATTTGCTTCGATTCACCGCTAACACTGTCATCGATTTGGAGCAGCTCCAATGAGCAGATGGTAACGATTAATAAAAACACAGGTGAGTCGCTTGCAATCAAGGTTACAGCGCACTTTTCAACAGACCTAGCATAAGGTTTAGTTTATAAACGATCTGAAAACTTTTTGTCATAATCAGAATTTCAAGGAAATGGCTTAACTATTTCTTATGCATATTTTGGTGACTAGAGGTAATTGCCCGGCAGAGGTAATTAGCCGGCATTACCTGGGCTTACATATTTCTTATGTAATTGTAAACAGAGCAAGTTAACCGGCGTCACTCGGGCTTTAACTAATATACAGGGTATATATCATATTCCTGGAATACAGGAGATTTCGTAAGCTATCTAAAAACTTTTCATAAAAATCATAATTTCCAGGAAATGTTTCATATATTTCTCATGCGTTTATTTACTTATCATCCTGGTTTTTACAAACCTGGAATTTCCAGGGGATTTCCCCTACTATCCGGCTTTAGCCTGGTTAATTGTCCATTTCCTTCATTTTTTCATCAGCTATTTTCTTTGCTTTTAATAATCTTTTTGCTAAATAAGCAAATATGTAAATTAACAATTAATGCTGAATTTGAACCAGCGACCTCTCGCTTGCTGGTTCGACGCTAAGTCACAAGTAAGCCACAGAGCTTCATATCGTCACGTTTGTAAAGTACGCGTCCTTGGTAAAGGGGTTGCATACAAACTTTGATATGCTACACTTGGAGTTACTTTTCGAGAAAAACGGAAGCTTCTCTAACAATTTTAACTTCTTAGTTCTTTGGCTTAAGCTCAGGTTCAATCGGCAGTCATTCAGTTAGGAGAAAGTCTTTCATATTTATAGATCTTTATCTTATCTTTATGTTCTAGCCCCAATTATTAATTGTAGAGTACTAGCTGGTCTTGATTATCTTTTTTTGTATTCATCATTAAATCGATTATTTTAATTTGTTTTCACTATAATTTGCAAATCCTGTATAGTTTGGGTGCTAATTCCCTGTCCAAACAACTCACAGCTTGCATTTTATTTCAATGCTAATTTATGCGTTGCATTTTACAAATTCAACAGCAGCCACACACAAACACACACACACACACACACACACACACACACACACACACACACACACACACACAAACACACACGCATATAGCTTGTTGAAGCAAAACCTCCAATAAATTGGCCTATATTTTCCGTACGATTTATTGATAACCCAATTAGGCTTATTTTTTGGCTGCTTTGTAAACAATCCAATAATTGACAAGCAACAACAACAGCAGAAACTGGTTCAACAATTGAGGCTATAATTTCTGAATTAATTACCTTTTGCCAAAGTTTTGAGTGCTCAATAGATTTTCATGCTGTTACGGATTTTCCAAGTGCAACAGCTTCCCATCGTTTTTCCTACACATTTTATACGGTTTTTACTTATTTTTTATTTGTAGTGCAGCAGCAAAAATATTTACAAATGTTGTGTGGGTTTATGTGTGTGTGTGTGTGTGTGTGTGTGTGTGTGTGTGTGTGTGTGTGTGTGTGTGCGCGTGAGTGTGCGCCCCCTGAGCTTTTGAGTGGCGCGTAAAGTGTTAAATAAACATTGTCACGCGTACAAGTACAGTAAATATCAGCTAAGTTGAACACTTTTGCAAAAACTTTGACATTCTCTTATTTATACAGGGCAGTGCATGCCGTTGAGATTTTTTAAGTGGAGTCCAGAGAGCATAATAAAGGCAGCTTCAATCAAAGCTGATCCTATGAATAAAACTCTCCATCAACATATACCATATACCATTTAATAGCCCATTCAACTCAGTGATAAGCGCAGCTAAAGATTCAAAATTAGGTATGCAAAGTCTCGTACATAGTAAATGATCGAATTTGGTAGCTTGCTCAGATAGCTCTTCTTCTTCACACTGGAAACATACCGATTACTTTTTTATAAACCATTGAACTCAGATTTAGATGACAAATTGATTCAGTGGTTAAAACATGAACAAAGAGCCAAGCCCCATGAAAATCGGTAGAGTTTTGACCGAGTTATGGATGTGGGAAATATCGACCCATGTCTATATAGGATATTTGAGGATAGAATTTTTACATGAATTTTGACCGAAAATGATGTCTCCAGATTTAAATGCCAAATTTTTCTAGAGGCAAAACCATGAACAAAAAGCCTAAC